GGCCGGCGCTGTAACATTGTTCAATGGCAAGGCCTCCGGGTGCCGCCTCCTCCAGACCCACCCTTACAGCTCACTGCCCAGCCTCGCAGGTGAGTGAGCTGCCGGTCACCGAGGTCGCTCACGCCCCTGCGCTGCTCACGTGCAGATGGCACTCGACGGGCGACACGGAGCTCAGCGCTACAAAGAAGTGTGCGTGCGCCTGGGTTTTTCAGCGGCTGTAAATGAAGGCAGAAAACGTAACGCGATTTAACTTTTCCCTTGAAGCTTCCGTGAGCATCCCCAACGTGACGGAGATAAAAACCAACATGAGCCTCGGCCTGACGCTCGCCAGGAACGTGGGCACCGGAGGGTTTCTCGTGAGTGTCCCCTTCTCACGTCCCATCCTTAACCCCATCCTTCTCCGGGACACGTGCCCTCAGCGTCTCCCCCCCCCACCCCGGGAAGCAGCCTGGGGGTGCACTGTCACACGTCTCCCCAGCCCCCCCGGGAAGCAGCCTGGGGGTGCACTGTCACGCGTCTCCCCAGCCCCCCCAGGAAGCAGACCTGGGGGTGCACTGTCACGCGTCTCCCCAGCCCCCCCGGGAAGCAGACCTGGGGGTGCACTGTCACACGTCTCCCCAGCCCCCGGGGAAGCAGACCTGGGGGTGCACTGTCACGCTGTGTGGCTGTCCCCCCCAGGAGCCTCCTGCTGATGCGCAGGCTTCTTCAGATCCTCGGCACAACCACTGCCCAGAATGTTCTGGAAAGGGGAGTGAGAGGAGCGGAGTCTGTGCCCCTGGGAAGGGCGCCTGGTCTCCGTTGAGAAGGGCTCCTCCCTGCGGGGACCCTCGGGGCAGGTGCTGCTGATTCTGAAAGGAGGTCTGAGAGCTGGAACGCACTTCTGTTTCATTTCCTCTGATCTCTGCTAATCTGGTGCTAGTCGGGGTGTGGCTCGGTCTCCCTTCTTTCACGTTGGTGTTTCCTCGCATTTACTTCCTGGGATGCTGGGAGAAGACATCACAGCGAGAGAGAATGCCTTGCCTAACAAGGCCCTGGGCCAGTCGACTGTTCATAACGTCACATCCAAACACACTGTGGGTGACGTGAAGAGTTGCCATAGACACATAGAAAGTGGGGTCTTTCTGAGAGGGAAGAATTTCTGAGCTTAGAACTAACCCAAGAAATACTATGGGAAATTGTTGAAAAGATGGGGCTATATAAAAGGTGAAAACCATTGCACCACACAGGAAGAGATTAAAGGCAAATAAAAACCCAGTTTTATTTCACATTCCCACCAGCTCTTACAGGTGTATCTGAGTTGTATTGTCGCGTTAGAAGAGTCTTAGAAGCTTAACTTTACATTAGTTTTACCCATGACATGCTAACCTAAAAGCCTAAGTGTATAGCCGGCTTCTTCTGAAAATAGAATTGATTTTGAGCAATGTCCTTCTACTTTCACCAATAGATGTTAGTATTCAGACAGACTTTGTACTCCTAAGGAAATCAAGTTTTGCTTATAATATGTGTTGCATCAACACGTGGATGAAAGTTGCAGTGGATCGCCATGCTTTCTGATATCTCTAAGTTCTTATAATCGATCGCCTTCACCTTTTTTTTGGCTTGTTTTTAAAGTTGAATAAATTCAGAAAGAGAAATATATTGAGACATGGGGATTATGGAATGTGCTTTAAAAGTTTTTAACCTGTAACTTCAGATGAAGTACAATGAAGTTGCAAGAGAATTTGAGAGATTAATTTAGCCATGTGCCAAGAGAGGAAGGGAGGGAGGGAAGAAGAGAGAGAGGTGTGTGAGAGGGAGAAAAAAAGAAGAAGAAAGAAAAAAGCCAGTTTCCTTTGCATACCTAAGAGATCAAAATTTTAAGATACTCTCAGGACTTATGTGGAAAAGACAGACAATCATCACATTTTTTTGAGCCTTCTTAAATTCTGGGCTTAAAGCAGGAATGGTTCTGGCATTGACAATTGGCACATTTGAATTTCAACTTCTTAGTGCTGTTTTCCTTTGCTTAAAAAATTTTTTTTGAATACTTCATGAGTTATTGTTTTTCAAGATGATCAGAAAAATCCAGCTTGGGGATGGGGATCTAGGAATCAGTGATTGGTGTCTGTTATCTAGTAAATTACCAAAGGTATCAATTACGATTTTTCCCAAACTTGGCAAAATGAACCCGTTTTATAGGGAAAACCAACCTTGTGCACTGAGCATGAAAAATGACCACAGCGGCTGCCCGCTCCCAAAGGTTAAACCGGGTCCAATAACTTTCCTCTTATTCTTCCAATGGCTTTTTGCAAGAGCACGCTTTTCGGTTCAGTTTTAGTGATTGGTCCACAGCTACACGGTGAGCTCTGGAGCCTCCTTTTTAAGCTCTTGACCGGATGGCTCTTCCCCACTGATTCCCTTTTCCATCTGACGATTCCCATGTTGTCTGAGCGGGCATTTCCCGTGTGGCTGACTCGGGAGTCTGGCTCTCAGGGCTGGCGGGCGGGAGGTTGGGGTTTGGGCTTTGGGCTGATGGGGGGGACGCAGGGTGGAGTACGGGGTGTGGGCACGCAGGCCCGCCAGCCTGGTGACCGCAGGTTTGGGGGAGTGGACATGGACCCCGATGTCCTCAGAGAACTGCTCCCCAGCAAAGCTAAACACGGGCAGCCCATGAGCCTCGTCTGCGGTGGTTTAGCAGAGTGGTTTTTTGAAACTGTGGATTTTCACACGAAATTTGTCTTCTCCGACTCTCCTTGAGAATGTGGGTGGCCTGGCTGTCCCTGGGCGGAGCCGGGGTGCCCTGCCCCTGCGTGTGCGGGGTGACCTCCTCACACACCTTGGCCTCTATCCCCGGCCCGAGCTGTCCTCTGGGTTCCCTGCCTGGCCCTGGGGGACGTGGGTTTGTGGTTTCTGCTGATACTGCACATGGAGGGGCAGGAGGAGCCCGCGTTCCGGAAAGACCACGTAGGATGCTGCTGACAGCCCCACCGCCTTGCTGTTGGCCCAGCGCTGTTCTGGGTGTTCCATACCTAGAGACCCATGTAACCTTCACAACAACCTTCAAGACAGGCGGCGTGGTCGTCTTCACTTTGCACATGAAGCTCTGCACTCATTTTCCTCCTGGGTGTCCCCTGGGATGGAAGCACCCCTTTATCTGGTTTGGTGGGGGACCCGGTGGGTCCCCCTGCACTGACACCTGCCCCGGGAGTGCCAGAGTCCTGCCTCCTGAAGCCTGCCATTGGCCACAGCTCCTCCCTCCGCTCCCTCCCTCCTGTCCGCCCTTCTCCCTGTCACACAAAGGCATTTTTTAAAATATGTTTTTTATCGTTGATAGTATTACAGATGTCTCCCATTTTCTCTCCTCCTTCCAGTCCCTAACCCCCAGCCCCCAGGTCTTCACCCCTTATTGCCTGTGTCTATGGGCTGTGCCTATAAGTAGATACGTTCTTTGGTGTCTCTCTTCTCATCCCCGCAACCCCACGTCGGGGTGTGTCAGTCTGTTCTCTGCTTTGGGTCTTATTTTGTTCGTCAGTTCATTTGAGTTCACAAATAATCAAAGGCATTTTGACTTGTTAATTCCAGGCCTTGGCCATCCCTAGTGCTTGCAAAGGATAGGGATGGGCGTGAGTCTCAGATGGGGAAGTGGGGGTCTAATGGTTTCCACGTTCTGTCACTGTTCTCGTTTTTTTTCAGACATGCGGGCCCCTGTGGGCACAGCAGTGCGGAAGTCAGTACTACACGACCGGGGTTTGTTCCGACGTCAGCCCCGACTTCCAGCTCTTGGGCAGCTTCTCACCGGCGCTGCAGAGTGAGTGAAGCGTGTGCGGCGGGCCCGGGCGGTGCCGCCATTCAAGGCAGGGAAACGTGTGGGCACCCCCGACCCCTCAGCTCTCGGTCACCGCTTCATTTTTAGTGACTTCAGAAATCTGTTTCTCCTCTTCCCCTGTGCAGCCTGCACTTCCTTCATCGACGTGGTGGTTGTGTGCGATGAATCAAACAGTATCTACCCCTGGGTGGCAGTAAAGAACTTTCTGGAAAAATTTGTGCAAGGCCTGGATATAGGCCCCTCGAAGACACAGGTACGGACGTCAATAGCAAGTACTGTTAGGTGTGAAGTCTTCACCTTTGCATTTGCCAGATCCCCAGTTGACTGCACTCAATGCTGACCTTGAGAGTGAAATGCAGCTTGTACTGTTTGCGTAATTCTGCGCGTCACTTCGCCCACTGCTGGTCTTTGAGCTGGGTTCCTGTTTCTGACAGAGCGTCAGACATGGGCCCGGCATTTTAACCCTCTGTAGTTGCTTACTTTTTTCATCCTCTAACTCATAAGTTTATTAATGTATTTTAAAATCACATATGTATCTTTCCTTTACACCTGCTTGGACTGATAATGACTTCCTCTTTTTTACGCCTTGCTGCTACACAGGTATCCCGGAATTCTGGGATCTTTAAAAACAAGTCTGAGGACACCATAATTCCACTTTATGTTATGTTATGGTCTCTTATTATGTTCCATCTGGTCTTTTATCCAGTCTCCCCTCCTCCTGCACAGGGCAGGCTCTTCACTAACTTTGCGTGGTTCTCCGTGCTCTAAGGCAGCGGTCGCCACCCGGTGGTCTGCGGACACTGGTGGTCCCTGAGTTCCGAAAGGCTGGCGGCCGCTGCTGGAGGGAGTCTTGAATTTGCTTTTCCGTCTTCTGGGGACAGGAACCCAGAACTCAGGAGCAAAACTTGCTGCTTCTGGAAAAGGGAATAGCCCTTATTTTGAAAGTTCTGGGGATTTTTCTCCTTTTCCTATTGGCTATGCCGCTCCGGGGTCTTTCTGGCTGTAGCAGCCCATGGACCGCTGTCAGGGGGGTCCTGGACGTCCCATTAGACCTCTTCTCCTCAAACCTCCTGCTCAGCTCTCCCCTTCCTCACCCCGAAGCTCAGGGCCGGGTCCTGTCTTCTCATGTTAGACTCCCCGTTTTTTGGGGTCCTTCCCTCGCGCTCAGGTCTTACAGTCTCTCCTAAAACCAGCGGTTGGTGCTATATTTTCTCCACCTCGAGAAAGTGCTGATGGGACTGAGCCCTCTAGGCCCCGCCCCTTCACCTTCCTGACACAGGACAGTGTGTCAGAGCCCCTGGGCCAGCGGCCTTTCACCGCCACTTCCTGCCCCAGGAGCCCCAGGCATCCAGGGTGATTTCGGTGCTGGGAACAAGGACAGTAAAAGAAGTGAAAAGAAGTGTTTGAGCCTCTTGATCTAAAGCAAGAGTGGGGAACCTTTTCTCTGCCAAGGGCCGTTTGGATGTTTATAACTCATTCTGGGGCCATAACAATTATCAACCTAAAAATTAGCTGCTCTATTCGGTCAAACATTTCATTAACTCACCCCGAAGGCCTTGGCTGGGCCAGGCCGGACGTTCCCCACCCTGAGCTGAAGGATTAGGGTGGCGTGCCCAACGTCTGTTGAGAAGTTGTTCTGTCTCAGCGCTCAGATCAGACTCTGAAGGGCGTTTCTCTGAAGCCCAGAGGCTCCAGGCCGCATGCACAGGTCGCGTCTCAGACCTGAAGTGCGATGGGAGGAAATCCCGCACAATAAACACAATGATCTGAAGTGACTGCATCGATTATGAGCAGTAATCACTTGTCTTGAATGCTTATTATTATTACTAAATATATTTTTTATTGATTTCAGAGAGGAAGGGAGTGGGAGGGAGAGATAGAAATATCAATTACCAGTATGAGAGAGAATCATCGATTGACTGCCTCCTGCATCCCCCCACTGGGGATTGAGCCCGCAATCCAGGCTTAATGTGCCCTTGACTGGAATCGAACCCGGGATCCTTTAGTCCGCAGTCCGACGCTCTATCCACCCAGCCAAACCAGCCAGGGCTTGAACGCTTATTCTTTGCTCATTATATAATTATCCTGAATTGATGAGATGTTCTCTCCCATCCACAGCTGCTCACAGTTGTTTACATGTTTGCATCCATCATTAATTAAGATGTTTTTATCACTTTTATCTTTCTGGTATGAACTTGATTGTAATATTTACCCACATTAAAGTACTATGGGGCAGTGCGTAACCATTTACAGCTGTTACTCCTGAGGACCAAATCGTATCCGATAGCATGTCGTCCTGCTTGTCCATCAGTGCTTTGCTAAACACGTACAGCAAGCGTGTCAAACTCCAAGGCTACCACGGGCCACATAAGCAACGTTTAAGTTCATGTGGGCCGCAAAAAAACAAAAGCTTCCATTTTCATAGAAACGTGGGTTTATTTCGATAGAGACATGACGAATGCAAAGGGCTGAAATAAACGAGTCATCGTTAACATAAAATAATAGAACATTTTAATGAAAATTAAATATTTAATAAAAAATTAATAAATTTTTCTTGAACATTAACTTACCAGACACTGAATAACTGCACAAATTAACAAGCGTCACGCAAATAAACCTATTTTTCTTGTTCTCCGAAAGCGAATTATTTGCTGTTGCGCACACCAAACAAGTCAGTCCGAGACTAATGCTGTGGCCAACGGCTGCTAAAACATTCGCTGCTGGTGTTAGCAGAGGGAAATGGTGCGCCTGCTCGTAAGGCACGTAAAGGAAACGAATGCAACACGATTATAGTCATCAGTCATTAGCGAACGTTGTAGTTCGTTATTAATAATTATGTATAACAGGATATTGTAAAGATTAAGTTATGAAATTTTTATTACAACATTTCTTACCATTACATTGACTGGGCCACAAAAACATTCGTTGTGGGCCGCATGCGGCCGCGAGTTTGACATGCTTGATGTCCTGCCTCCAACAGAGGAGTCATTTCACTGGGAGAAAAATAACTGTTCTTACAAACAAAGTGGAAAATGGCTCCCTTAAGCTCTCAGCCCACATCTAAATGCACTTTGGATTTTCATTCTATTGGCCAAATAGAATGTCTTCTAACTCACTGACCAGCGTCTGAGAACGTCTGCTCTCCCGCAGGTGGGGCTCATTCAGTACGCCAACGAGCCCCGAGTGGTGTTCAACCTGAACACCTTCAAAACCAAAGCCGAGATGACTGCAGCCACATCCAGGACGGTCCAGAAGGGCGGGGACCTCACCAACACGTTCAAGGCCATTCAGTTCGCCAGGTGAGCCCCCACGCGATCAGGCCTGTAAGGGAGGAAAGGCAGAGAGAAGCAGTCACCTGTGCTCACACTTAGCTCAGGGATAGCAAAGAAGGAGAGGTCACGTATCCCGCCACGTACCCGTGGGGAAGGCCGTAGGCCGTGCCCACCAGTGCCGGCCAGAGTCCCGCGTCCCTGTTCCCCTCCAGCTACAGGCAGGGCGCCCTTACCTGCTTCTCTGCCGACGGGAGAGACATGCTGAGTCCCAGGTTATGCTCAGCGTGGTCGCAAGGCTGAGGACAGGGCCCGTGGGAACGTCCTCGCTGTAGTGAGCCTGTCATTTGATCTGCCACAGAGACTCCGCTTACACGGCAGCTGCTGGCGGCCGGCCGGGCGCCACCAAGGTCATGGTGGTTGTCACCGACGGCGAGTCGCACGACGGCTCCAAGCTGAAGGAGGTGATCGCGCAGTGCAACGAGGACGGCATCCTGCGGTTCGGCATCGCGGTGAGGCGTCCCTCCCCGTCGGTGGGGGTGGGGGTGGGGCGGGGGGTAAACGCTCCTCTGTCATCACCTCCCAAGGCCCTCCTCATGGCTCCCGACGCTTTACACAAAAAGAGATGTGTGCCGGTTTTGCTTCTTAAAAATATATATTTTTTATTGATTTCAGAGAGAGAGAAGGAGAGAGAGAGAAACATCAATGATGAGAGAGAATCATGGATGGGCTGCCTCCTGCAAATCCCCCACTGGGGATCGAACCTGCAACCAGGGCCTGTGCCCTGACCGGGAATGGGGCCGGGGCCTCCTGGTTCACAGGTTGACGCTCAGCCACTGAGCCACACCGGCCGAGCGCCGTTTCTGCTCCTGCTGGTTCGGTCCTGTGGGTGTGGGGTGCGGATTACCTCTCCAGGGGGCCTGGGCCTGGGGGTGCGAATAGGGAGGCAGAAGCACCACAGTTCTGACCTTTTCTCCCTCTCCCTCTGCGTTCAAGGTCCTCGGGTACTTAAACAGACAGAAGCACCACAGTTCTGACCTTTTCTCCCTCTCCCTCTGCGTTCAAGGTCCTCGGGTACTTAAACAGAAATGCCCTCGACACGAAAAACCTGATAAAAGAAATCAAAGCGATCGCCAGTGTCCCCACCGAGAGGTACTTCTTCAACGTGTCCGACGAAGCCGCGCTGCTGGAGAAGGCGGGCACCATCGGCGAGCACATCTTCAGCATCGAAGGTAGCGCCCTCCCTCCCGCAGCCCCCGCCCTGCCCTTCCCGGGGCTGGCCGTCCTGTCCCCGCGTCCTGCGTCCTGTGCTGCCAGTGCCCACGCGTGCGCCTCGTGGGAAAAGAGCTCTGAGGAATCAGTGAGAAAAGGAGGCGAAGGACATGACTAAGTCGTTTTTAAAAGATAAAACACAAACGGCCAGTCAACATAAGAAAGTAGTCCCAATGTCGGTAATTATTAAAAATCTGAATCGCAGCCCTGTTCCTTGGTGTTTAAGAGATAACAAAGACTAGTCATGTTTAATTCTGGAGCGATTATGGAGAAGCGGAGAAGCTCAGCTTATTGATCACATTGATCACATGTGTAACACTTCCGGGGCGATTCAGTGATAGCTATTAAAATTGTAAATAGTTTTACCTTTTTGCACTATAAATAGTTTTTGTAATTGTAAAAGTTTTACTTTTTTACACTGTTACATAGTTTCTGAAATTCTTGAATTTGTTTACTAAAACATGCATACTTTTAAAATTAGAAAAATATAGTGTGGATTCCCACGTCTGTTGGAATACTTGTAGTGATTTGGCCACTCTGCCAGCCCGATATTTTTGATTGAACATCGGAGCATTTTGTGTGTGTGTGTGTATGTGTGTGTGTGTGTGTGTGTGTGTGTATGATTGAAAATTTCATTTAAAATGATTGGCGGTGATGGAATTCTGGAAACTGTCACTTCCCAGGCACCGTGCAAGGAGGGGATAGCTTCCAGATGCAGATGGCCCAAGTGGGATTCAGCGCGGATTACTCTCCCGAAAAGGTGTGTATATCAGATGCCCACCCGCCACCTGCCCTGGGCTGACCACCGAGGGCGTGGCCACCCTGTGCATCAACAGTTCCTGCTCCTAGTCACAGTCCTGAGTTTCTTTCTTTTTTTTTTTTTAAATATGGTTTTATTGATTTCAGAGAGAGAAAGGGAGAGGGAGAGAGAGATAGACACACCAATGATGAGAGAGAATCATGGATCAGCTGCCTCCTGCACATCCCATACTGGGGATGTGCAACCTGGGCATGTGCCCTGACTGGGAATAGAACTGTGACCTCCTGGTTCATAGATCGACACTCACCACTTAGCCACACCAGCCGGGCAGTCCTTGAGTTTCTTGGCGTCGCTGACTTGCCACCTAAAACACGAAGGTTCATCATGCCTCCCTTCCCTGTTTCACAGGGTTTTTTTGTTGTTGTTAATCCTCATCCGAGGATGTTTTTCTATTGATTTTTAAGGAGAGCAGAAGAGAGAGGGAAAGACAGAGAGAGAAACATCAGTGTGAGAGAAACACATTGATTGGTTGCTTCCTGCACGAGCCCCGACCAGGGCCCAGGCCGGGGAGGAGCCTGCAACTGAGGTACGTGCCCTTGACCGGAATCGAACCCGGGACCCCTCAGTCCGCAGAGTTGCTTGTCTCCTCTGCCCTCCCCACACCGGTGCTGACCTGTGGGAACTTCCTTACGTTGGATCCACTGTCTCAGCTACGGCACCTTTTGCACCTGTGCTATTTTCAAGTAGATGGGACAGGAGAGAAATGATGGAGGAACATTTGAGAAGGAGTCAAGGGGAAAGCTGAAAATAGAAGGGTCTGGATAGGGCCTCCCGCGATGGGGGGTGGGGTAGGGGAGTGTTAGCAGTGCCCAGTGGCCCCAACCTCCTTCCTCTATCAGCATCATTCCCCACCTCTCAGCTGCCTCATACCCAACCGTGAGCTTCTCTCATGAATCCCTGAGGCGAGAGGCTCCCTCTAACTGTTCAGCGTTTGCAATGTGGGCCTTTGAATGGAAATTTGAATATGGATACGCGCTCCCCTGATTATAGCTATAGAAAGACTTATCCATATAATGCCATACTCAGTAGAGCCCGAGCTAGCGTAGCCCATGGGAGGCTTGCCCTCCAGCACAAACATGTTCAAACAACTCTGAAATATGTCAACATGTGTGTATAATCTCACTTCACCATGCTGAGTTCCCCCCTTAAACCTGGACAGTGTATCCCCACGCTGTGCCTACGCTGAACTCTCACACTTTAGAGGTGACGTGCTTTAACACCCCCTTTCCCGTGGTTTTAGGACGTCCTCACGCTGGGTGCAGTAGGGGCTTATGACTGGAGCGGGACCGTGGTTCAGCAGACGTCCAGCGGACACCTGATCTTCTCCAAACAAGCCTTTGACCAAATCCTGCAAGACAGAAACCACAGCTCCTACTTAGGTGAGGCAGGCACGCCCGCGTGGGCTGCACATGAAGGACCTGCCTCTACACTAGCCGTGTGGAATCAGGACCGGTTCAGTCCTGGGCCTGTCACCTACTCATTATGTTTATTACACAACTAGAGGCCTGGTGCACGAAATTGGTGCACTCTGGGGGGGGGTCCCTCAGCCCGGCCTGCACCCTCTCGCAGTCCGGGAGCCTTCGGGGGATGTCCCACTGACAGCTTAGGCCCACTTCCCACAGGGAGCGGCCCTAAGCTGTCAGTCGGACATCCTTAACACTGCTGCAGAAGCAGGAGAGGCTCCTGCCACCGCTGCTGCACTCGCCAGCGGTGAGCCCAGCTTCTGGCTGAGCGGTGTTCCTCCTGTGGGAGCGCACTGACCACCAGGGGGCAGCTCCTGTGTTGAGCGTCTGCCCCTTGGTGATCAGTGTATGTTATAGCGACCAGTCGTTCCCCCATTCGGTTGATTTGCATATTAGCCTTTTATTATATAGTATGTTTATATTCCCTTTCTGCCAATCAGGCCTTCACCGTAACTGCTAAGGAAACCTGTATTGTACCCGCCAATCCCTTGTGGCTGTCCAAGTGGTTGTTATTCCTGTGACAGTTATTTCTCCAAAATGGAAATGGTTCCTAAGAGCCAGTGCAGAGTGACAGTCTGATAAAAATGAGAGCTCTTAGTCTGTCTTTCCTGGAATAAGCAGCCATGGATTTTGAACACTTACTAGGGGATAGTTCCTGAGCTGCTGACTCTATCGACATGAACATTAAAGTCCTTCCAACACCCCCCCGAGGGAAGCTTAGGGTCCCCACTGTACCGTTAGAGCCAAGGAGGGTCATGGTTTGCCTAAAGGTGAACAACACAGTAAGAGGCGGATCCAGAATTCAAAGCGGGGACTGACTCCAAAGCCCGTGTTCTTTCCACTCCGCAACTTTCCCTTTTTAAAAACATACATATTTTTATTGATTTCAGAGAGGAAGAGATAAGGACATCAGTGAAGAGAGGGAATCATTGATCGGCTGCCTCCTGCACGCCCCTACTGGGGATCGAGCCTGCAGCCGGGCATGTGCCCTTGACTGGAATCAAACCCAGAACCCTTCAGTCCTCAGGCCAGTGCTCAATCCACCGAGCAAACCAGCTGGGGCTGCAACATTACCTTTTAAATCCACCTACTGGCTCACTAAAGAAAGCTGTTGAGGGCCAGGTTCATGACTGGCTGATGGGGACAACCAGAATCTCGGGTCGGCTTCATGGGTAGACACCCACTACGCGGGGCAGTGCTGCTGGTCAGAGGGCGGGAGCAGGTCACCTTGGAAACAGGAAGATGGGCCCTGAGTGACATGCTCAGGTTGGAGAAAGGGCTCAGCCGCTCCCCCAGCTCCGCCAGCCTGTGGGGCCCAGCCTGTCGGTGGTACCCACCGTCTCCTTCTCTCCCAGGTTACTCGGTGGCGGCCATCTCTACTGGAAAAGGGGTCCACTTTGTCGCGGGCGCCCCGCGGGCGAATTACACGGGCCAGATAGTGCTGTACAGTGTTAGTGAGAACGGCAATGTCACGGTGATTCAGGCTCACAGAGGCGACCAGGTAAAGTCATCGCTCAGCAGGTGAAGTGAATTTCAGGGACAGCGGGGGCGGGTGGGAGTGGGGGGGGGAAACTACCATTTATTGAGAGCCCGCCCCCGGCTGGCTCTGGCATCTGCCTTTACTTGAATATTCCTGAAATCTTCTCAATCCTGAGGCCGGCCCGGTCCTTTGAGAGATTGACTCTCCTTCTAGGTCACAACTTCCATGGGGTGAGCTGTCATTCAGACCCAGTCCTGGGGGCGCTGCAAAGGCTGTGCTATTTGGCTACTTCCCACTCCATATTTTTTTCCATATTTTTTAAAAATACATTTTTTTATTGATTTCAGAGAGGAAGGGAGAGGGAGAGAGAGATAGAAACATTGATGATGAGAGAGAATCATTGATTGGCTGCCTCCTGCACGCCCCCTACTGGGGATGGAGCCCACAACCCAGGCATGTGCCCTTGACCGGAATTGAACTGGGACCTCCTGGTTCACACTAGTATGTTGATGCTCAACCACTGAGCCACGCCGGCTGGACCCCACTCTGTATTTTTGACGCCTGGATTGGTAAGGCCGTGATGCCAGCACCTAACCGCCGCTTGGAGGCAACCCCGCTGGGAGCCGAGGGTTCGGAGAGAGAGTGACAAGGGAGTGGCTGCTGTGGCTCCGACTCGCTGGGTGGAGAGCAGCTCTCCTTCCTGCCGCTCTCCTCTGACGGGGACAGTCTCGGGGTCAGAAACGGGCATGACTGTCCCGGTGGTGCCCACGGGGCCCGGGTCAGCCGGGAGATCGAGTGGCCTCACTGGGCATCTCTGACCTCAGGGAGGCACCTGGTTGAGATGAGAGCACGGCTCTCGACAGCCAGCGGGAGTTCTGTCCCCCGAGGCGGAGAAACGACTCTCCACGGGCTCCCCTCTCGGGGTTTGGTCTGACCCCACTGTCGGCTTCCACCTCCGGGACCCAAACCAGCCGTGGTCACTTCCCTTCCCTCCTCTCTACGGCTTCGTAAAAGGGTGCTTTCATTTTGAGAAAAACAAAACAATGAAAGCGCAATGAAAGGAATCATTTCTTTTTATTTCCAAATCCTTCCGAGGTACACACAGCGATGCGCGTTGAGCAATGGTTGGATGAGATGAACATTCAAACCCCCAGCCTCTCTCACTTCGCGTTCTCTCGCCCTAACCCTCCGGGTCCCATCTCTGCAGCCATCCCTCCTCTGTCCCAGACCTGACCGTGGGCCCATCACCCAGGCTCCCCTGCTCCACTTGGAAACTCCTTGGCGGCTCCTGAGATGCAATTCATACGACACTCATCTTTCTAAGCCGCCCTGGCTCCCAGCACTCACTCAATATTTGGCACTTTCCTGCATTGTAACATATTTTCCATGGGAGCACAGCATTCGTTCCACCTCTCTCTTCCCCCCGCCCCCTCTTTCTCCGTAACACACCCTTATGCCTCTAAGTGTGGTCTCTGACCCCCAGCGGCAGACACACCTGGCGTGTTTATAAAAATGCCGTCTTCTGGACCGCTCCCTAGGCCTGGCCTCAGCATCTCTGGAAATGGGCCTCAGGAATCTGTATTTTTAAAGATGTTTTCTTGGTGATTCGGGGGCACCCTGCACTTTAGATGATGCCACAGGCTGAGGGCAGGGGCTGTGTCATCCGTCTTTACGTCCCTAGCACTTGGCAGGGAGTAAGCACTCACTCTCAGTTGTCGAATGAGTAAATTAAAGTCCAGCGTCGCACGAGGCGCATTGGGGTCCCGGGAAGCCTCAGGCTGACCTGCTTCATCGCTGCAGATCGGCTCCTACTTTGGAAGCGTGCTCTGCTCCGTGGATGTGGACAAGGACGGCGTGACCGACGTGCTCCTGGTGGGTGCGCCCATGTTCATGAACGACCTGAAGAAAGAGGAGGGGAAAGTCTACCTGTTCACCATCACGAAGGTACGCAGATGCTGACGCGGACTTAGTTTAATGTGGATTGGTATGGTTAGTAAAAGGTAGCCTGCCTTTTTGCATTTGGTTAAAATGCAAAGTCTGTTATTGAAGGGTGATTTTCATGTACGGTGTGTCTGTTTCATTATTGGGAGGATGTTGCCGTTCAGTTATGATTTTTAAAATCGCATGAACCGAGAACCTAACCCAGAGCTTACTTACTGTGCACTGACATTTTCCATGAGGTCTTTGCATAGATGTTCTCTTACGCATGAAGTGGTAAATGCACATGGTTTTTAAACACACAAACACCTGAGTATGTCCCCAGTGTCCTCTCCAATTCTTCTTCTTTTGCTGTAAAGAGATCACAATAACAGCTCAAAACTGTCCTGTGGGCTTTTACAGTGAAATAGACAAATGGACCAGCCCCTTGGGAACCCCCTATAACCCTGGATGCTTTGCACATCAGCCGCCAGGAAATTCCATCGCTCAGTGTAACGGTGCGGTATACATCCAACTCCGGAACTTTCCAGTCCTTGCACATCAAACGTAGCGCGCGCCAACATGGAAAATCCTTCTTTCCAGCTGGTGGGCTGAACCCTCTAAATCTATGCACATAAATACAGGGTCATAGAAACTCCGATGGCCACAGAGGGGGAGGGGCGGGCAAGAGACACTGATGTTAGCACAGTGAGTGTTATGTTTAGCTGTTGTGATATTTTGTCCTCCCTTATTTATTTAAATTAATGCAAAAACTAGCCCTTCAACAGAAGCAAGTGAAACTATTCTAAAGCACATGAAGAACGCAGAACTGAGCATCCGGTAAGGAAGGGACAGAGCTACGTGCTTTCCCAGATCCCAGATGCGTAGCTGTTCCTTGCTGGCCAGCTCTTCTGAATGATCATTAATGGCTGCAAGTGAGACCAGCTCCTAATAGTTCATCAAACTTGGTGACATGCCGATTTCTCGACGAGTGTGATCGAGGGGAAACCAGCACCGCCTGGTTTCTGGTGAGGAGCGTGGCTTTCTTGTGAGGCCATGAAATACTCCCATTCTTGATTTCAAAATCTGAAGAAGCAACTGCGTCTTTTACAAGGAAAAGTCTTTTCTTTGGGCGGAACTGCTCGGTGTTTCTTACACTGGAATATGAATGATCTCGTTTTTCACTTTCTGTGCCGTGAGAATTATGCCACGGTTCAGTAATTTTTTCCATAAAGGTCTAAATTAAGATCTTGCTTTTTATTTTGTCTCCACCTTAATTTTATTCAAAATATTAATAGGTTTTCACCAAAAAAAATTTTTAAATCAAAGGTATAGAAACAGGTGATGATATAACATGAAGGAAAAGAGGAAATAGAGGAATGGGTACCTTTATGTAGGTTGTGTTGCTAAAGAGAATCAACCCCTCGCACCTCGCTTTATGAGCAGATTCCCATGACCTTGCTTACGAAAATTCTTATTTATAATTCTGATCGTAACGGGAGGGTTTTGAATTCTAGGTTTCCAACCCCCTCCCCTTACCCGTTGCAAGTGGGTGTGGCCATCGCTGGCTGAGAATTGTAGTTGTGAGGCTGTGAGGTTCGCTGTACTCACCCCCCTCCCCTTCTCCAGGGCATTTTGAACTGGCACCAGTTCCTGGAAGGCCCCGAGGGCGTGGAAAACTCGAGGTTCGGCTCCGCGATCGCCGCCCTCTCCGACATCAACATGGACGGCTTCAATGACGTGATCGTCGGGTCGCCCCTGGAGCATCAGAACTCGGGAGCCGTGTACATCTACAACGGCCACGGCCGCACCGTCCGCACCAGGTTCTCCCAGGTAATGCGGGCGGCCAAGGTGAAGTGTGCACAGGGGGCATCACCGTGCCCGGCTGGGGAGGAGCACGGGGACCATCCACGCCGCCTTCTCCTCTCGGAACTATTCACTCACTCAGTAAACATGTAGGGAGCGGCTAAGCGTGCCAGGGCTGTCCTGTGCGGGGATGTCGCGAAGGAAGGACAGACAAAGCTCTGCTCTTCACAGAGGGGGCAGAGGAAAGATAAGATAAATATGATAGTGTTCCAGGTCGTAGTCAATGACAAGGAGTTTTTTAATGAAATGGGAATGGATTTTCAGGGATAAGGGTGACCCGGGAGGCCTCGCTGGGAAGGCAGCTTTGAGTAGAGCAGTGGTCGGCAAACTCATTAGTGAACAGAGCCAAATATCAACAGGACAACCATTGAAATTTCTTTTGAGAGCCAAATTTTTTAAACTTAAACTGTACAGGTAGGTACATTGTTATTAACTTAATTAGGGTCCTCCTAAGCTGGCCTTTGCTAAAAACGTCCTCAATCTGATTGAGGTACGTTCGCTGGGGTCGACCCCTTCCAACTCTCCCATCCACACTCGTCTTGTATATTTGTTTCGTCTACCTCCTTTCGTTCATTCTCTCTATACGTCCAAAGCATCTCAACATACCTTTCTCAATCCTCAACACTACATCTTCTTTCACTCCACAACGTTCCCTAAAATTAACTTAATAAACTTTACTTAAAGTTTTAAGTCAACTTTGCACTGTACGTGTGCCCGCACGTGGTATTTTGTGGAAGAGCCACACTCAAGGGGCCAAGGAGCTGCATGTGGCTTGCGAGTCGCGGTTTGCCGGCCACTGGAGGTGAGGGAGGATGGGAATTGGGACCTGAACTTGCGTCAGCTCCTGCCCAGGCCACCGGTCCTTCACTGCTTCATGCTGGTTTGTGGTTTTATGGGAAAAGATTCATGCTGTTTCTCTGATGAAAGTGTGGCTGCAAGAAGGATAAAACAGTCAGATGAGAGGAGTTGAAAGTCAGTGGTGTTTTATGGAGAATAAGGCAACCTGGGAAGAGGCCGTGTGGAGAATATGACAGTGCCTCGTAGAAGGTGCCTTTTTCCGTTTCAGTTGTCGTGCCCTATAATCGCATGTCCAACGTGCCCTTTCAGAAAATCCTGGGATCCGACCGGGCCTTCCGGAGCCGGCTCCAGTACTTCGGGAGGTCCTTGGACGGCTATGGAGACCTAAATGGGGATTCCATCACTGATGTGTCCGTTGGTGCCTTTGGACAAGTTGTTCAGCTCTGGTGAGTGAGTGAGTGAGGCAGCCACAGAGCAGCTAATAAAGCAGGGCCAGTGCGGTTGGGCATATTGCTCTGCGGGGCCTGCAGAAGGGGCACATGCTGGTCCAGATCTCCCTGCTGGTCCTCAGAAGGGCCTCGTGCTGGTCCAGATCTCCCTGCTGGTCCTCAAAAGGGCCTCGTGCTGGTCCAGATCTCCCTGCTGGTCCTCAGAAGGGCCTTGTGCTGGTCCAGATCTCCCTGCTGGTCCTCAGAAGGGCCTTGTGCTGGTCCAGATCTCCCTGCTGGTCCTCAAAAGGGCCACGTGCTGGTCCAGATCTCCCTGCTGGTCCTCAGAAGGGCCTCGTGCTGGTCCAGATCTCCCTGCTGGTCCTCAGAAGGGCCTCGTGCTGGTCCAGATCTCCCTGCTGGTCCTCAGAAGGGCCTCGTGCTGGTCCAGATCTCCCTGCTGGTCCTCAAAAGGGCCACGTGCTGGTCCAGATCTCCCTGCTGGTCCTCAGAAGGGCCTCGTGCTGGTCCAGATCTCCCTGCTGGTCCTCAGAAGGGCCTCGTGCTGGTCCAGATCTCCCTGCTGGTCTTCAAAAGGGCCACGTGCTGGTCCAGATCTCCCTGCTGGTCCTCAGAAGGGCCTCGTGCTGGTCCAGATCTCCCTGCTGGTCCTCAGAAGGGCCTCGTGCATTATCTAAGACTGCAGGGCACTGGTTTTTGTAAAGAAGGACTGCCTTCCCTGGTGGGAGAAAAAACATTTGCTTCCCATTAGAATCCAGCGTCTCTTCTCTGTGGCGAGAAGGGCGTGGGAATGGTCGCCAGGGTGTTGGGGAAGATTGTCTCCAAGGGGCCCTCGCTGGCTCCCAGCAGGAAGCTTCATGAGATGCCCTAACCAGACCGAGCGCCCAGACCGCACTGCAGCTCCGCGTGCGGTTAAGGGGCACCGCTTAGAACCATCCGTCATGAACAGGAAGCCATTGTGTCGGTTTAGTGGCCCCTCGTTGAACCAGTGGGAGCTGAAGAGCAGGAACAATAAGGGATTCAAGCGCCATGCGGTTCAAGGACAAAAATAAATGTATGGGGCTGGTGAGGGAATGGAACCAGAGAGAAATGGAGAATTTCATCAAGAGTTCCCAAGAAGATACAGTTCAGCCATTCATTCACTTGTTTCTGTAGGGAATTGTGCTTCAAATGTCCAAATGCGTCAGGAACAGAAAAGCTACACATTGACGTTGTGCTGTTTCTGAGTTTAATGACACTATTTACAGTATCTCACTCGTGCTTTCAAAAAACAAAATGCAGTGTCTTCATGAAATCTTTATATGGAAAAATAAGACTGAAGGATCACATTTAAGACGTTAAAAATAAGAAAATATACTTACTGAATAAAACCAGTTAAAACCAGTTACGAGTAACATACCATTGGAAAAATGCAAGGTGTGATAACATAATTATATGACTAATTTTTTAAAATATATTTTTATTGATTTCAGAGTGGAAGGGAGAGGGAGAGAGAGAGAAACATCAATGATGAGAGAGAATCATCGATTGGCTGCCTCCTGCACACTCCCCACTGGGGACCGATCCCGCAACCCGGGCATGTACCCAGACCAGGAATTGAACCATGACCTCCTGGCTCATAGGTTGACACCCAACCACTGAGCAACACCAGCTGGGCTATAGGACTGATTTTCCCCCAATATTTTTTCAATTGATTTCATAGTGGAAGGGAGAGGGAGAGAGAGATAGAAACATCCATGATGAGAGAGAATCACTGCACACCCCCTACTGGGGATTGAGCCCACAACTTGGGCATGTGTCCTTGACCAGAATTGAACCCCGGACCTTTCAGTCTGCAGGCTGACACTCTATCCACTGAGCCAAACCAGCTAGGACTATATGACTGATTATTAAACAGTAAGCAATTACACCTCAGTGAACTTGACCGTGCCCATCTTGGCGGGCAGCATCCCTGGTGGGCTATATCCCTGCTCTGCTATGACACTCCCTTTAGTGTAGTCAATGATGGCCAAACCTTTTCCTTGGAAGGTGAATTGATTCTTCAAAACAGTCGAGACACATGATATCAATTATTGACATTCAGCCAGAGTAGGTTAGTGCCATTTTTCCATCAAGTGCTGAGACTGGCTTTTCTGGGAGACTTCCTGAGAATAAGTTTCAGAAAACAAGTTTCCAGAATCTCTGAAATCAGTGCCCTCTCTCCTGGGAGAAATGCTCAGCTTCTCCAGCAGACGAACTCACAGAAAACCCGCTCCTAGGCCGCATGGGCCCTGAGGTCCGTGGCCGCGCTGCCTCTGCTACGAGGCCTTCTATACCTGCTTCTCAGGGGCCTGGGACAGGCATGATTCATGATCGACGCACCTTCCAATGGACTCAAGTCCTGAAATGGAAAGAACATGTTTTCTGTATCTTCTTGTAATACTTTTAGGAACAGGGAATTTTTAAAAATATATTTTATTGATTTTTTACAGAGAGGAAGAGAGAGGGATAGAGTTAGAAACATCGATGAGAGAGAAACATCGATCAGCTGCCTCCTGCATATCCCCCACTGGGGATATGCCTGCAACCAAGGTACATGCCCCTGACTGGAATCGAACCTGGGACCCTTGAGTCCGCAGGCCGACGCTCTATCCACTGAGCCAAACCGGTCAGGGCAACAGGGAATTTTTTGGTTTCTACTGGCTGCTTTGTCAATAGTCAAGGTGTGCCCAAGGGGTCACATGATGACATACAAATTCCACTGCCCAGGGGCTGAGGAGACCAGGGGTTCTAATTGCTCCCCTGCTATTGTTTCTCACCAACTGACTCAGCACACTGGCCGGTTTCCAGCATCCTCATGCCTCAGACGTCTTCACTGTAAGTGGAGATGGTATGTGTCCCACCCACGTCACAGGAGTGGCGCAGAAGCAACGAGGCGGTGCGTGTGGGAAAGGCCCTCAGACGCCCAAGGGCAGAGGCCGAGCCTGCAGCCCCTGCCTGAGGTGGCCTCCTCCCAGTTCCCGGCATCAGGCTAATGCCAGCATCGTGGTCACATGCACATGCCATGCTGTCAGGATCGCTGCCAGTCACCGAGGCAACAGGAAACCGCCACAAGCACACGCCTCAGCCCTGTCTCCCCGCCACTGCTACCCCGTCCCCTATCTTTATGAGAAAAATGAATGTCACTGCATCCAGCTGGACAGGACTGTGTGCCCCTCTGCAGAGAGCCTGCAGACTCGGGCCCGTGCTCACGCGTGCACTCATTAAACCAACCCTGTTAAAGGTGACTGTGCTGGTGCCACGGTCACAAACAGGATACATCGTCCCCGCGCCAGCTCAGCTTTCCATCTGAGCGCTGCCAGGTGCCAGGTGGAGCGGGAAGGGGGGGGGGGTGACTGGACCCTGTGAAGTCAGCACACCTGTACTTGGCGGTCTGTCCATCTGTCTGTCCCCACTGTGTCTTTCAGGTCGCAGAGCATTGCTGATGTGTCTGTAGACGCTTCGTTCACACCAGAAAAAATCATCTTGTCCAACAAGAATGCAGAGATCCGCCTCAAGCTCTGCCTGTGGGCGAAGTTCCGGCCCACCACGCCAAGAAGCCGCGTGGGTGAGTGGGGCTGCGATCGTGTGAACAGAGCGGGGTGTGCTCCCAGGGCGCCCGTCCTGAGCGTGACTCAGACTTAGAGTTTGTGGACCCACGGAAATCCGGGTTAACGTGCAGACATTTCACTTGCCATACGGTGAGGTGCTGGGGATGGGTGCCTAGGCGGGAAGCGTGGTGTAGGGCTTCCTTCATCATGTCTGGAAGGTGACCCGGGGCTGTAATCTCTATGACACGATCGCAGGCTCTCCCCACTTTCTCCTCCGAGTGTCTCCTGCCCGGGTCCCCCATCAACCTCGGCTCCCACAGTCACCCTGGGCGCCTCCCGCAGGAACTGAGGGCTCTGCACGTCAGCCAGGCCACGATCTAGGCAGAGCTGTTCAGTACTAGAACCAAGTGTGATTCCTGCTCTTGAGGAATTAATAAGCATGAAATCATGAGAAGATACAAAAGAATGTATTGTTTATGCCCATGTTTTCAATCTGCAAAGTAATGCAGAGACGTGGGTACGAGTCTGAGATGTGTCCTACCAGCAGGAGACGGTGGGTGAAACCCTGGGCACGTGCCAGCAGGAATTGTCACCGTCTTTCCTGGACGGGCCGGGTCACCTTCCAGGGCCGGGCCAAGGTCCACGTCCTCTCGCTCGTGTTTTCCACCCACCGCGTCTCCCCTCACCTCCCCTGCCGCAGTGGCTCAGCAACTGGTCTCGTCCTCGGTTCAGTGACTTCCTTCATTTGCTGCTGTTCCAGTGTTTGGGCCTAAACGTTAGAAACCAGTCGTTCCTGAAGTGTAAACAGATAGACTAACGTCATCAGACAGCTTGGTTTGAATTCGAAGGCCGCTGTTCATAGCGGCATGACTTTAGGCAACTTGTTAAACCTCTGTGAACCTCCGTTTCCTCATCTGCAGAGCAGATAACAGTACCCACCTGGGGAAAAGGAAAGGAAAACCAGTGTGACAAAAGCTGAGGCCAATAGCCAATGTCTATCTCTCGGAACCTTCAACTATGTCTGCTGCCCGCCTGGCCACAATCGAGAGAGACCAGACTACTCATAGCACCAACTGCCTTCTCTGGGGTTGCTCCTCCTCATTGCGTTACTTTCAATATTTTAAAAGTTGACTTGACTTCCAAAAACATTCATTATACAGCTTACCTTTAAAATACCTATTAGAAATGTTGTATAACTTTTCTTGCTCCGGTGACTTCAGGAGGTTAACAAAGATGGATAAAATGTAAGAGGATCCGATGAACTAAAAAGAAGGGGTAAAAATAACGCAAAGGAAAAGCAGTGTCCAGCTGCGGGCACTCAATAACTGGGTCTTTCCTTTTCGCATCGTCGTGTTACGAATGATGTTTGGAAACCAAAGTGTGAGGGAGTAAGTTGGCCAACCCCACTCAGAGGTTCCCCGGGGGCACGCCCACTTCCCTTCCCCTGCGTCCAGCCACGGTCACACACATCCCACCAGGGCTAGCGTCACGGCTGCCCTGGGCCGTCCATGGCTCACAGCCCATCAGCGTATAAGCCGCTTTCACATCTCCTCGAAGTCAGAGACTCCACCCAGGAAGACACAATAAGACAGGGTTGCTTTTTCCTTGGAAGGTTTTTGTCGTAACATTTTTATGGTTTTTAATCACAGCCATTACCTATAACATCACCATCGACGCGGACCTGTACTCGTCCCGCGTGACCTCCAGGGGGCTGTTTAAGGAGAACAGCGACCGGTACCTGCAGAAGGACGCCATCGTCGGGCCAGGACAGACTTGCTCTGAGTTCGCCATCCACATACAGGTGAGGGTCCCCTCCGCCCCTCCCTCCCTGGGGCCTAGTAAACGGAGAAAATCCAAAAGGGAGACTTAGGAGGCAGAAAACGCTCGCCTGCCAACGCACGCTTTTCTTTTCTGGGCACAGGACGCCTGTCTCCTTCGCTAACGCCTACGGTCATGGGCCGTTCCTCAGTTAGGGGCTACATTTTATTTGGGGTTGCAGTTAATGGGGCTAAATAGAAAACCCTCAAAGACGCCGGGGACAGAGTGCTTTATAAGACGGTCAACAGGGAGAACGCAAAGTTGACAGGAATTTTACGTGGACATTTTCCTCTCGGGAAAGTTGTGTTCCTTTTTTTTTTTTTTTTTAAAGCCACTGGCTTTTTAAAAAATTATTATTGATTTTTTACAGAGAGGAAGGGAGTAGGATAGAGAGTTAGAAACATCGGTGAGAGAGAAACATCGATCAGCCGCCTCCTGCACACCCCCCACTGGGGATGTGCCTGCAACCAAGGTACATGCCCTTGACCGGAATCGAACCCGGGACCCTTCAGTCTGCAGGCCGATGCTCTATCCACTGAGCCAAACCAGTCAGGGCAGTTGCTTTCCTTTTTAAGGAACCGAAGAGAACCATCGCACTTGGGTTTTTCGCTGATGGATGAAGTTCACGGGGGTGAAGGATGGTAGGGCATCAGGGCAAAAGGATGAGCTCTGCTCTCAGGCCACAGTGACTCCCGTCCAAATGGAGTTTGAAGGTCTCCCAAGGAGGAAATGTGCTTCTCCGAGAAAACTCCCAGCAGGAACTTTGTTTTATTAGTTACAGGACCCTTTCCCCGTAGAAACCACATCATGGAATTTGAGAGTGTACTTTCCTCAGGACGCTGTTGAGAACTTTTCTAGAAATGTGGTTCTCGGGGTGTAAGAGGCATCGAGGTTGCCCAGGGAACTGTTACGGAACGCGTGTCTGGGTGCTCGCCGCCAGCCTCGGGGGGTTGAGGGTCCAGGGCACACGCAGGGCGAAGGGGCCCAGGTACTCCTGGTGCAGCTGGTGATGCAGAGACCACATCTCGGGAAAGGCCACGTGTAGATGCTGAAAAGCATACAACTGATGCTCGGATGCATGCACATGGGTTGTTTGTTGTTCAAGTTGAAGGTTACGTATTCGCCAAGGCCCGGCCTTTTGTTGGTGAGGGGCCAACTGTACCGCCCATTTAGGGAATGACAGCTGGGACCACATAATGAGCTGAATGGCGGGTCACACTGAACACGTGGCCCATGGGGGGGGGGGGCGGTGAGGCGGCCAGGCTGTCGGGTGGAAGTCCTGGTGGTTCCCCCGTGCACCTGTGGGGCTCGCAGGGCCGGGCCGGGTCCTCGGCCGGGAGACGCTGTCCAGTTCAGTCCTCACGGGCCCCGCCGTGTGCCAGGCCCCAAGGGGCCGCGAGGACTGATTGCGGCCTGGGATGGTAAGTGGTAACAGGCCCGCTGGGGAGGGGGCACACCCCGTGTCCAGCGCTCGCCGTCTGCCCCTCGTTCTTTGCGGAGAACCGGGGGGTGGGGGGTCTGCGCGAGGACCACTAGGTGACACTCCCACCCTGTCCTGGTGATGGTATATTTTCCACTAGACGGGGCGTCTCAAAGCCAAGTGCCTGTGGGCACCGCCAGTCCCCCTCCCTGCACGCCAGCGGAGAGGGTGCTGGGGGGTGGCGGCTTCCTGACTGTGAGAGGCCAGGCACCTCACCTGAGCCAGGAGAGAGGGCTCCTGCTGTGGGCTGGGCTGGAAGTTGCGGGGCTGGGCTGGAAGTCGGGGGCTGGGCCAGCAGGAAGTCAGGCCAGGGGGAAGTCGGGGGCTGGTTTGGATGTGGACGTGGGCAGCGCCTTTGGCTTCGCAGAGCAGAGTGAGGCTCGCTAAGGAAGCTCTTGTCCGTCTCCTGACAGCCAGCCTGTCCCTTCCCTTCGAGGCCACAGTGTCCCTTCCAGGGGCCTGATTGGGACACCAAGGACCCCAGGACTCAGCTGTAGGGACTGAAAAGACAGCCAGCAACCCGAGGGCTGGGACTGACACAGGTCGTTAGAGCATTACAACTGGATATATTGCCAGCCGGCGTGGCTCCGTGGTTGAGTGTCGACCTATGAACCAGGAGGTCAGGGTTCATTCCCTCCCGGTCAGGGCACAGGCCCGGGTTGTGGGCTCGATCCCCAGTGTGGGGCGTGCAGGAGGCAGCCGATCCATGATTCTCTCTCATCGTTGATGCTTCTCTCTCTCCCCTTCTCCCTTCCTCTCTGGAAGCAATAAAAGTATATATTTTTAAAAACTGGGCATCTCACCTAAATACTTACCATTCCTTATGTGCACACAATGAGGTTCCTGGGCAGCTTAACCAAGAACTTCTGCTTCTGATTTTCACTGAGCCCCTGACTTTAGTTTCTTAGCGGAGAGGCAAAGGCCAGATTAGAGCAGAAGAGAAGACGCCAGAGCCTTCATCTAGACAACACTGTGGCCTGTTCCTGCTTTAACGCTTCCCGTGCTAATACATGGACTCTGTGTGTGTGTGTGTGTGTGTAGGAGCCCTCGGATGTCGTCAACGCCCTGAGTCTCCTCGTGAACATCAGCCTGGCCCACCCCGGCACCAGCCCCGCCCTGGAGGCCTACTCGGACACGGCCAAGGTCTTCAGTGTGAGTGGGGTTGGCCCTCCTGGCATCCAGACCCGCCAGCAGGTTCACCGTGGCTGCTGTGGGAAAGACACTTAGCACGTGGCCTTTAACCTGTTCATTCTCTAAGTGAAATACCGTGAGTGCGTGCGCAGGCCACTAGCATGTAAGATCCACGCAGCCTGAGCTTTCGTCTTCCTCGTTCACTGTGCTAGGCCCGCCCGGCCCGTGAGCGGTCCCGCCCTCCGCAGGGCCCACGGGTGTTTGTGGGAGAAATAAGTAACAACCCAGCAAACGCCGTGTGCTCACTGCCCACTTAATGGAGTGTTACCCCAACCTGTGACTCCCCTGTACACTCCCACTCCCACACTCCTCTTGCTCCCCCCGCCAGGCACCCCCTTGAGCTTTGCATTGATCACTGCTTCCCTCTCGGATGTTGCTAGGCGTGTATATAGTCCAGAAGCGTGGCTTGGTTTGGGCTGGTTCTGAGCGCCATGCAGACGGAATGACGCTGTGCGTGTTCATCCAGATTGGCTCTCCTAAGTGCCAGCGTCTGGGCTTCTTTCCTCCTGTAGATCCCGTTCCACAAAGACTGTGGGGACGACGGCGTGTGCATCTCTGACCTGGTGCTCGAGGTCCGCCAGCTGCCAGCTGCTCAGTAAGTTCCACTGTAAAGCTCCGTGTGGCTCAGAGGGTTGGGCATTGTGCTGTGCACCCAAAGGTGGCGGGTTCCATTCACGATCAGGCACATACCTAGGTTGAGGGTTCAATCCCCGATCTGGGCACTTACAGGAGGCAACCAATTGAAGTTTCTCTCTCACATGGATGTTTCTTTCTCTCCCTCTCTCTTGCTCTACCTTCCTCTCTCTAAAATAAAAGAAGAATGTAAGGCCTAATGTAAAATCTATATAATAAAAGCCTAAGTGACCATTACGGCGGAACGACCAGAACGACCGGTCGCTATGATGCACACTGACCACCAGGGGGCAGACGCTCAACGCAGGAGCTGCCCCTTGGTGGTCAGTGCGCTTCCACAGGGGGAGCTCCGCTCAGCCAGAAGCCGGGCTCACAGCTGGTGAGCGCAGCGGCGGTGGCAGGAGCCTGTCCCGTCTCCATGGCAGCGCTAAGGAGCAGCAAGCTGAGTAGTAAGGAGCAGTGAGCAGTAAGGAGCGAGGGGTCCCAGACTGTGAGGGGACCCCCCACCCCAATGCACAAATTTTGTGCACCGGGCCTCTAGTATAGAAATAAAAGACACATTTTTAAAAAAATATATATTTTATTGATTTTTTTTACCGAGAGGAAGGGAGAGGGATAGAGAGTTAGAAACATCGATGAGAGAGAAACATCGATCAGCTGCCTCCTGCACACCCCCTACTGGGGATGTGCCCGCAACCAAGGTACATGCCCTTAACCGGAATCGAACCTGGGACCCTTGAATCCGCAGGCCGACGCTCTATCCACTGAGCCAAACCGGTTAGGGCTAAAAGACACATTTGATTGTTATTCAAGTGAATGTTTATGGAGATAGTTTCTACAAAAGAAATATCTATAACTAATAAAGACCTCTAAAATCTGAATTTTACTTTCTGCCATTCGTACGGGTGTCAGACAGTAAGAACAATACAACCACTTGTATTTGGGTGGTTCCTTCCCCCGACTTGTACTAAAGGCAACAAAGAAGAAAGCCCAATAGCACTTACTTATCATTTTGCAATGAAGACAGTTTCTTACTGAGCAATTTTCTCAGTTTTCAAAGTGAATCTGAAGAGTTTATTTTTTAAATGAGTGAAGTGTTTGAATACTGACCCCTTTCCCCCCCTTAATGACTTTCTTTTTCCTTTTTCTCCTTTTTTTTAACAGAGAACAACCCTTTATTGTCAGCAACCAAAACAAGAGGTTAACCTTTTCAGTGACACTGAAAAACAAAAGGGAGAGTGCGTACAACACTGGGCTCCGTGTGGATTTCTCAGAAAACCTGTTTTTTGCTTCCTGGTCCATGCCGGTAAGTGGTGCTGGCTCCACGGGGGGCTCACTCCTCAGTCACGCCTCCCCTCAGCTCGATCCCCAAGGTCTGTGCTCCGTGTTGTGAGGGAAACTCTTTAAGCACAAGGGCCACCCTCAGGCCTGACTGCGCGGCTCCCAACGCGTTAAACCCCGTGAGCACATTGCCTGGCTCCGCGTCCAGGCCGGGCTGGCCTCGCAGGGGCGGCTCAGTTTTTCCTTTGCCCTGAGACGTGCCGCGGGGCCAGATCCTCGGCCACCGTGAGCTCAGATGCTCCGAGCTGCACTTGCTCCGAGAGCTCAGTCCCGCAGCTGGGCCGGGCGGGCGGCTGCCAGGGGACGCATTCCGGCGAGGCCAGTTAGTCGTGTCGGCTTGATGACTATCCCAGGGGCGCACTTGACCGCGAATGCCCCCGTCCCCTCGGCCACCGCGCAGGGAACAGGAGGGGGAAAAGCTAAGATTTTCCAAACCAGCTGCCTGTGATGAGAGAATGTGAACCGGTCCCATCCAGCTCAAGGCAGTGCGAACTTCACAGACGTAGCGGCCTAAACCATTCTGACTTCGGTGTTAAATGACAGCTTATTCTAAAGAGGAAAACTAAAAAACAGTCTTGAAATTATTGAAAGAATATTAATAAACACCAACATACAATTTTGTTTTCTTCTCGTGAAACTACAAACTTCAGCTACATTAAGAGAAAGATACGTATTTAAGACAGCATTCCATATGGGATTGCAATTATTTTGTGCTTATGAAATATAAGAGCGAATAAATCAATTCTGGGGGGAAATTCAAGTATCTGGCCTCTCTCCTGTGGCTGTTGCGTGTCCTGCTTAGCAACGAAAATAGCGCCTTGGCCGCCTGGAGAAGACAGAATGCTAAGTCCTGGGGACAGTAGGTCACTGTAGTGTCACCAGCCTTGGCGCTGAAGTGCCCGTGCGCTGTGCGTCATTCAGCGTGGCCGTGCCTGCACACACACGGCGCATACTAATTGCTCATGTTTCCTTGGTCTCGTTCAGGTGGACGGGACGGAAGTGACGTGCCAGGTGGCTGCCTCTCAGAAGTCCGTGGCCTGCGATGTAGGCTACCCCGCGCTGAAGCCAGAACAGCAGGTACCAGCTGCGTTTCAGCCTGAAACCCACGCCAGCCCCCTCAGCTCCCATCTCATCCACCCACAGGCCGTCCTCCTCATGAGCTGTCACCTTTCATGGGCATCACAGCACCGCTGCCTGCCTGTTTAGAGGACACGTTTAGAATCTGAATGTTCTCTTTAAGTTACTAATAGAAGTGAGCCCTCGCTGGTTTGGCTCAGTGGATAGAGTGTCCATGCTGAAGGGTCCCAGGTTTGATTCTGGTCAAGAGCACGTACCTCGGTTGCAGGCTCAATCCTGGGGACCTGCAGGAGGCAACCAAGTAATGTGTCTCTCTCATCACTGGTGTTTCTCTCTCTCTCCTTCTCCCTTCCTCTCAGAAATCAAGAAACGTATATATTTTAAAAAGTAAGATTTCCCCCACGCGGTGCATCCCAAAAAGCACACACGCCATGGGAAGTTCTTTTTTTCTGAACGCGTTGACCGACGGTCGGTCTAAGTGCGCTACCCGGGGCCCCGGAGGTCACGTGTTGACCCCCGAGGAGCACGCTTCGCGTCAGCACAGAGCTCCCAAACCCAGACACGCGTGTGCTGGCGGGAGGGCTGGCCTGTGCCATTGAGGGTTGAGCCCGTCTGATTCTGAAGGCCAGGCAGCTGCGCCAGGCGGACCAGTAACCACACGTCCTACACGTTTGGGAGCTCGCGGTGCATGCAATTCGGAATCCAACCGAGGGCGTCCCCTCTCTGGGGAAACTTCTTTTTCGGGTTGGGCCTGAGTACGGAGCATCGTGCACTGACGGATTTTAATTTTGAACGTAGGTGACGTTTACGATTAACTTCGACTTCAATCTTCAAAACCTTCAGAATCGGGCATCTGTCAGCTTCCAGGCCTCAAGGTAAAACGTAACGAAGTCGTGCATGGATAGCCTTTCTGATACTTTCCTTCAAGTAATTTCCTAATGCTGGTTCCACAGCGAGAGTGAGGAAGCCAACGAGGCAGACAATGCGGCCAACTTCACCGTCCGCCTGCTGTACGACGCGGAAATCCACATCACCAGGTAGGCGGGCGTGGCCGCGGGGCACTGCCGTCACTGGTTTATGGCACGTGTGACTCCAAAACCCTCCAGATGCTCATCCTTTTTTTTTTTTTTGTAATATTTTTAGTGATTTCAGAGAGGGAGGGAGAGGGAGAGAGAGATAAGAAACATCAATGATGGGAGAGAATCATCCATCGGCTGCTTCCTGCACGCCCCACACTGTGGATCGAGCCCGCAATCCGGGCATGTGCCCTGACCAGGAATTGAACCGTGACCTCCTGGTTCCTAGGTGGATGCTCAGCCACGGAGCCAGGCCAGCCAAGCTAAATGCTTTTTCTTAATACAGCCTTTTTATGGCTCCGCCCGCCCAGCACGGCCAGTGTTTTCAGACATGTTACCATGAAATGAATGTAAGATTGAGGGGCACTTCACTACCATCTCAGCTGTATGTTTGTGATGGGAAGATGGACTCTGAGATATTCGGATGTCCTTTAAGAAATATCGTTCGGTTTAAAAAGCTCATAGGAAGAATGATGAAGAGTAAAGCTAGAGCGGTTCTCCATCCTACCATCCGGGTCGATCCCTGGATGGCTTTGTTCTTTAAAAGAAGGACATTGAATGCACCTGGACAGGCATGCAAACGGTCGAGAGAGATACACACGGAAAATGAGATCGCCCCCCACCTCCTCTGCTCGGCCCATAGACGACGGCGGCGGAGGGACACACACACACACACACAGGACACGGGGTGTGCTTTCCTACAGGACGTGAGCATCACACACATGCACACGCACACGCACACACGCAGACACACACGCACATGGATGCACATGCGCAGACACACACACGCACACGCACGCAGAGACACACACACACGCACACGCACGCAGAGACACACACACACACGCACACACTATTTACAAACACAATGCTAACCCTTGGCTGAGCCTTGCTTGCTATGTGATCCTAGAAAATTCCTGTCAGCACATCCACTCTAACCTGTCCTGTTCCTCACCAATTTAACAGCAATGACATATTTGGACGTTTTGCTTTTTTTGCTGGTTTGTTTAATCATCACAAGCAGCGCTGGGGGAAAAACATGTTTAAACAAACACCTTTTTGGTGGAAAAAAGTCCTTTACAGTGATGGAGTGTGAGCCTTAGCCACCGCTTGGATGCTGTATAAATGCGCAGCTGTATTGTGCGAATGTGATGGGTGGGAACGGGTGATAGCAGAATTATTTCTAACAGGTTCCCCGGCATCGCTAACTGCTAATGTACATACACTGACCCACACGTAGGTGACGTAAGGAACGCCGAGGTCACAGATGGCCAGGGGCTGGGTCTCTAAACGCACACGCAGGACGCGTTAACCACCTTAGACGCCGCTGCCCCGGCCCCCGGAGGCCTGGAGGCGGGGGTTCCTGCGCTCAGGGCCAGGCTCCTGTTCCGCCTCCTCAGCTTCCCGTTCCGCCGTGGCCACAGGTCCGGCTCCCTCACAGACAGAACCTGGACGCTCGCCGTGTCTATTTAAGTCTCCCTCTGACAGACTTTCCTTTTGAGAATTTGGGGGGAAAATGTTTTTCTAAAGGAGGCATGAAAAAAGAGGAGAAGGGCAGTATTTTCAGTACAGAAATACAAAAACAATGGCAGCAAGTGTCCGCTATAATTTTTTAGGACATATAATCAGCGTCCTATAATTAGGGTAGATGACCTGGTGGGAATCTGGTTGCTTCCCAGTCTCCTACCCTCTCCCTGCCCCCGCCCCAGCGAAGCCACCCTGGTCGGAGTCCAGCCCCAGCCCCGAAAGGGAGGAAGACGGGGTGTAGCACTCCACTCCAGTCTGGCCGGGCTGTCGGGGTTCCCTGGACGTGGTCAGGGCTGCACTGCGAACCCCAGGAGCCGTCCCCAGCAAGTGGTCACATCTGGCAGAACCTCTGGGTCAGCCTCTGAAGGTGTTCTCTGCTCTCATGATGGACACAGGCTGACCGACCCAGTTTGGACCGAAAGCACAGAGTGGTCTCAGAACCGGAGACGGAGGGGCGGGGGAGAGGGGACAGACGCAGGTCCTGGCTCGCGGGCGCCGGGGACTGAATGCGCCGGACGGAGCTCCGGCCGAGCTCATCGCTGTGCTCAGCCACACCCCGGGGAGACCCTCCGGCCCATCAGTCACTCATCCCTCACCGAGGACAAGTGTCTACTGAGTGACACACCGTCCGTGTAGCCCGATCTCTATAGGGCACCACTGCCAGCCCTGAAGCGATGCGTTGGTGCTCACGTTAGAAACGGTACCACCGGTGATAGCGCAGCACAGAGATTCCCGCAGGAAGATCTCTGAGGGATGTGCTTTGAAAGGGATTTGCTTCGGCCTCAGGCTTGACCCCTGGCCCGTGGCCCATCAGGAGCGTTTGTTTTCATTTAGCTTTTTGTCCCTAAACGTAAACGCTTTTGCTTGTCACCTGAGCCAGGAGATATTTAAGTAAGAGTAGCACGAAGCTTCGAGAAGAACAGCAGCACTCACCTGTCTGCTTCACCAACATCCCCCGACAGGTCGACCAACATCAACTTTTACGAAGTCTCGGATGGGCATGTTCCTTCCACGGTGCGCACCTTCGATGACATCGGCCCCAAATTCGCCTTCTCCGTTAAGGTTGGTGAGCCTGCCCCGCAGGCGGGCATCGGGAGGGAGGAGGAGCAGAAGGAGAAGTTGAGATGTGCTAGTGGCTCTCACACTTGAGTGGACATCAGGTCGCCCGGGGGACTTGTTACAATGTGGTCGCGGGGCTCCGTCCTCAGAGCTTCCGGTCTAGGGTGGGTCTGAAACTGTATTTCTAGCAAGTTCCCTCCCAGGTCACGGAATGCTGCCGGTCCAGCTGCCACCCTAAGAGTCACTGAGATGACCCCGGGGGTGGGGGGGGGGTAAACACGGGGCACTGTGCTTGGTTGTGTGTCCTGGGTGCGGGCTAAGGGGTGTATTTCGAAAGAAAGTTTTCAACATTAATCAACAGAATGTTGATATAACGGCTTGGTGCGGGCGGGGTCTCTGGGACGGCATTCGCGTGCCTTCTATCGGAGGAGCTCACCGTCTGTGTACAACTATGTTTTGTAGTCATGCTGGACAGTATCTAGAAATATGTGTAAGTCCAGTTCTGTGGTCGGCTGGTATGACAGTTATTAATCTAAAGGTTGTTGTCAGTTGCATAAAGAGAACTTAACTTGCTAAAGCAGCTATTTTAACCACGGAGAAACCGTGGAAGTAAGAAAGCTCACCCTCCACCCTGAGTCTGTGCAGTTTTCTTTGGTTCATCTCTGACCAGCCCGTTGCATGGCTGCAGCCCTGCAGTTTGGTGATTCCTTAAAAAAGTCTTTCGAAGAGCCTTGTTTGGGATGCAGGTGCTGGGAGGCAGGCGTACACGTGGCATTCGGCCACGGCCTCCGTCACGAGATGTTGAGTCCGTTAGCAGTCACAGCAGAACAGCACTCGTGGGGAGCGTCGACAGCGTCGGCCTGTGGGTCCCGTGCCTTAGCCGCGCTGACCATTTAATCCCAGAGCAGGGACGAGGGTGTTACTCCTGTGGGTCTTACGACGTTTCCCTCCGGGAGGGCGTGCGACCGGCCACGTGACCGGCGCCCCGCCTGTGAGGACAGGTGCGACACCGTGTCCTTCCGTCCCCATAGGTGACCACCGGCAGCATCCCCGTGAGCATGGCCTCCGTCCGCATCCGCCTCCCCCAGCTCACCACGGACAAGAACCCGCTCCTGTACCTGACGGGCGTGCACACGAGCCAGGTGAGGGCGGCCTGAGCGCCAGAGCGACGTGCGCCCTCGGTGGGGGCCCCGCCGGGTGGGTGGCCCCCCTGACAGGTGTGGACGGAGACTGAGAAGGTGCCCTCTCCTCCTGACGTCCATCTCGTATCAGCAGCGGGTGCTGTGGTGAGAAAGCGAATGTCAGTGTGGACGGCAGAGGCTCTTCCTGAGGCCCCTCCTGGGCGGGGGGTCCCCCCCGCAGCGCCCTGGCCGCAGAGGTCGGCTGGCCGGGGGTGGGCGGTCAAGCCCCCACAGGAGGCAGGTCATTGTTAGTGGCTGCCCTGCACCCTGTCAGCCCGGCCGAGTCCTGCTCCGCCCGGCTGCTCTGGTCCGTCCCTGTGTCGCGGTCTGAGGAAGGCGATGCCCAGGCCCCGGGCACTTGAGTGGCGTCTCTGTGGCTCCGGCCGCAGCACCTGCTTGTCTTCAAGGCCCAGTGGTCCTCACAGCCGGGCTGAGAGCGCAACTCGGACCGACATGGCCAGCGCTTAGCTGCGCTGATGTCACTCGGGGTGCGCAGGGGACGACAGGAAATCAAAACCCTGAAGTGCTCCATAGCAGAGAGCCCTGCCTTACATCACTCAGGCTATTCTTTGTGTGTTTTTTTAATATATTTTTATTGATTTCAGAGAGGAAGGGAGAGAGAGAAAGAGATAGAAACATCCATGATGAGAAAGAATCATGGATTGGGGCCTCCTGCACGCCCCCCACTGGGGATCGAGCCCACAACCTGGACGTGTGCCCTGACTGGGAATCGAACCCTGACCTCCTGGTTCATGGGTCAGTGCTCAACCACTGAGCCACGCCGGCCGGGCAACTCTGTCTGTTGTTGTTGCGAATTTGTCTCCTCGCAGGTGGGACCCAGCAGCCCCACCGAGTTAGGCAGGACCATGTGAGCTCAGGGTGATGTTCGTGAGGCTGAGAAGTGGGCCCAGGTGGGCAGTGAGGCCAGCCTGCCCCTCGCCTCAGCCATGACATGTGACAGTAGGAGCCTCACAGGCTGAGGGACCCCACAAACCGCGTGGCCTCCTAGACTGACGTGCTGCCCCCTGCAGGCCGGCGACATCAGCTGCAGTGCCGACGTGGACCCGCTGAAAATAGAACAGACTCCGGCTTCTGTGTCTTTTAAGAGCGAGAATTTCCGGCACCTCAAAGACCTGGTGAGGACGGGCTCATGCGGGCAGTTCCCTCGGGGAGTCCTTGTCAGAGTCGCCTGGAAATGAAGCACTTCCCCCCCTCCCCACAACCCCACCCCGACCCCTGACCCCTGCCCTCGAATGTCATAGGTTTCCCGTGTGCCTTTCTCAGCCCGGATGAATCCAGGGGTAGAAACGCACACCCAAGTCAAGATGAAGTTGTTTATGGGGTGATGGGGGTGGACAGGGAGGGAGGAGGGAGGAGGGAGCAGTCGCTCCCTGTTTCCGTGGTTCGAGTGTAATCACAGTAACACGTGGTTGACGTCTGATAGCTGAACATTCCCAGTAGAAGCTCGTCTCAGGATTTGCCGACATGCTAGCCCCTCAGTGTGTCCTCCCTTCCATGAAAACGGTTTGATTGTGTCAAAGTGACGGTTGCTACGTGGGAACAACATAAACCAAACATGACGACTCAGAAAACCACAGGAAACGGCAGTTCTCGGAAGTAGAGCAGCTGAACACTCGTGTGACGAACAGCCGCCACCACGCCCTCAGCGTTAGTGCACACATGGACACGTGTGTGCGCTGCTACGTGCATGTCCTAGGCCAGTGATGGCGAACCTTTTGAGCTCGGCGTGTCAACATTTTGAAAAACCCTAACTTAACTCTGGTGCCGTGTCACATAGAGAAATTTTTTGATGTTTGCAACCATAGTAAAACAAAGACTTATATTTTTGATATTTATTTTATATATTTAAATGCCATTTAACAAAGAAAGATCAACCAAAAAATGAGTTCGAGTGTCACTTCTGACACGCGTGTCATAGGTTCGCCATCACTGTCATAGGCCATATACCTGTCACAGGCTTTTTAAAACAGACCATGTTTCAGAGCAGCTTTAGGTTCCCAGCAAAGCTGAGTGGAAAGTACAGACTCTCCCGTGCACCCCCGGCCCCCACATCAGCACAGCTTCCCCGACACCTCCCCCCACCCCCATCGGATGGTGCGCTGGTCATGGGATGGACCTGCATCTGAGACACCGGTCAGAGTCCACAGTGCATCAGGCTCCCTCGGGGACTGTAGAGTCCGCTGGTTTGGGCAAGTGCACGGCGACCTGTGTCCAGCTGCCCTGACCCAGGGCTCCCCGTTCCAGACCCCCCACCGCTCCCCCCCCCGCCCCGGCCCTGGTCATCGGCAGCTCCTGATTCTCTTACTCAGCTTCCCTTTAATGGAAGGAAAGTGTCTGTCAGTTCTGGTTCATGCGTGCCTAAGGCGTAGGCCTCTCGTATGTGCATTCAGCGACCTGCTCAGCCAGTAATGGTTGATAAGCACGGATTCATTTGGGGCGTTTTTGTCAGAAACGGTGACTAGGGGGCGTGGGGTACCCTCCTCCCACCTTCACGCTGGGGCCTCCCCCCAGGGGCACTGGCAGGTGGCGGGTGCGCGCCTGTCCATGTGGGGCGCAGTGAAGAGCTAGAACTCCCGCCAGTTCCCTGCAGCCCTCCCGCCCATCTGTGGCTGTAATGTTTGTGGCTGTAGCATCTGTGGCTGTGAAGTCTGTGGCTGTGATGTCTGTGGCTGTGATGTCTGTGGCTGTAATGTCTGTGGCTGTAGCGTCTGTGGCTGTAATGTCTGTGGCTGTAACGTCTGTGGCTGTAATGTCTGTGCCTGTAATGTCTGTGGCTGTAGCGTCTGTGGCTGTACGTCAGGCCGTTCCTCTGAAAGCCCGCACTCACCCTCCCCTCTCCCGGTGCGTGCAGAACTGCAGGACCGCCCGCTGCGGGAACGTCACCTGCTGGCTGCGAGACCCGCAGGTGCGGGCCGAGTACTTCCTGAACGTGTCCACGCGCATCTGGAACGGCACCTTCGCCGCCGTGAGTATCCGCTAGTTACGGTTCACCGCGGGCCGTGGGCTGTCATTGCCGAGGGGCCTGCCCTGTGGCCAGAGGTGTCGCCCGGGGGCCTGTGCTCCCTCCCCTCCCAGCGCTCGCCCCGCTCGGAGGTTCTCAGCCTCCGGCAGCTTCCGGCAGCTGAGTCCTGGGCACAGAGCCGGCAGCTGAGTCCTGGGCACAGAGCCGGGTGCCCACTGCTGCCCTGCGGGCAGCCCTGCTCTGTCTCCCTTTGCCTCCTCCTGACTGTCTGGCTTCCCATGTCCTCACTGCGCCCAGCTCCAATGCGCCCAGACCCAATGCGCCCGGCTCCAATGCGCCCGGCTCCAATGCGCCCGGCTCCAATGCGCCCAGACCCAATGTGCCCAGACCCAATGTGCCCAGACCCAATGTGCCCGGATCCAATGTGCCCAGACCCAATGTGCCCGGACCCAATGCGCCCGGATCCAATGTGCCCAGACCCAATGTGCCCGGACCCAATGCGCCCGGATCCAATGTGCCCAGACCCAATGTGCCCAGACCCAATGCGCCCGGATCCAATGTGCCCAGACCCAATGCGCCTGGATCCAATGTGCCCAGACCCAATGTGCCCAGACCCAATGCGCCCGGATCCAATGTGCCCAGACCCAATGTGCCCAGACCCAATGCGCCCGGATCCAATGTGCCCAGACCCAATGTGCCCAGACCCAATGTGCCCGGATCCAATGCGCCCAGACCCAATGCGCCCACACCCATTGCGCCCACACCCAATGCGCCCGGACCCAATGCGCGTGCTCATCCCCTCCTGGAACTCCCCGCTGATCTCACACCCGCCAGCAGGCGGATCTAACACAGGGCTCCTCTCTGCCTGGAGTCGGTACCCACTCCACCTCGGTTCCCTGCTTCTCTGGTGAGAGCCCAGAGCTCACACCACTTTCTATTTTTTTAAAATATATTTTTACTGATTTCAGAGAGGAAGGGAGAGGGAGAGAGAGATAGGAACATCACTGATGAGAGAGAATCATTGATCAGCTGCCTCTGCACGCCCCCTACTCGGGATCAAGCCCATAACCCAGGCCTGTGCCCTGACCGGGAATCAAACCATGACCTCCAGGTTCATAGGTCAATGCTCGGTCACTGAGCCACGCCAGCCGGGCTGTTCCCCCAGGAAGGAGTGTTTCAGAGACCAGGGACCAGGGTTAGTTTCGGACGCGTGCCCATGTTGAGAGAGTGAGGAAGGAGGCCATGACAGGAGGCTCCCTGCTCCCCTTCTGGCTCCCAGACACAGCCCAGCGAATGCCCTCATGGGGTCCCTTAATCCCTGTGCCCAGGCCCCCCAAAACCGAGTCCTGGCAGCCAGGGGATGTGGGCAGCTCTCAGATCCAGGCACTGTGTTCTAGTTCAAGGTGAGCATCAGGCCCAGCGCTCACATCACAGAGAACAGAACAGGCACATCCGTGATGTATCCATGAAAATGGTTTGTTTTTATAGTAGATCCAGGAATGCATGTAAAGTCATTTCATAGTAGGTTCCTAGAAACGTCAGCGTAAACTACTCGTGCCTTCTCTAGGCCGGACCCAAATCCGGTGCTTTTTATAGAAATGCCTACATTGGGAAACGTGAAATGATTAGTCTTGTGACACAGCGTGAGGAAAGGTTCGGGGCGTCCGCTGTGGACACGTACGGTCGAGCTCAAGGGCACGTTAAGCAGTGTTCTTTTACCGTGTACCCCAAAAGAAGCATTCTCTTCCCTTTCCCACCCGCTCTCCCATCCCATTTATCACGTACGCAGGCAAATAAATAACAGCTATCGAGTTAGTATTTCTATTTTTCTGTTGCCGTCTGCATTCAGTGTTGTTTTGTGTTGGTGTCAGGCGTACAGCACAGCAGTTAGACAATCATACGCTTTACAACGTGCCCCCCGGCCCTGTACATAGTTATCACAATGCCGCCGCCTGCGTTCTCCGCGCTGTGCGTCCCATCCCGGGACTGTTCTGTAGCTACCACCCGCTTCTCAGTCCCTTCACCTTCTCACCCAACTCCTCCACCCCCTCCCCTCTGGCCACCAACAGTCTGTTCTCTGTACCCGAGTCTCTAAAAAAGGGAGGAAGTTTGCAATTTTCCCTCAGGCCGCAAACTTAAGTTTTCTGAAATCTGCACTGCGGCCTTTCCCGGAGATGAACATCACTTCTAACCCTGGCTTTGCAGCCGTGTTTTAAGGGGGAGTCACCTGGAGAGAGGACTGATCGCTACTGCAGGGCGGCCACCCCGTGGGAGTTCCCAGGCACGTGCCGTGTGCGGCCCGTCACGTGTCCCCGGCTTCGGGACGCTGAGTGTCTGGGGTCTTCAGATGGTCACTTGCTCTGTTGCTTTCCACGCGGAAGTTGATGAATGACCCGCCCGCCTCATCCCATGTCTGTCCTCCCGCTGGGATGAAACCTGTCCCTCTTCCCACCTCGCAGGCGACCTTCCAGACGGTGCAGCTCACGGCCTCGGCGGAGATCGACACCTACAACCCGCAGGTCTACGTGATCCAGGAGAACGCGGTCACGGTGAGCGGCCCTCCGGGCCTGGGTGGGCCGGCTTCCCGCCCGGAGGCTGGGAGTGGGGACGGGCAGCTCACTGGACTCCGAAAGCCTGGTGTCTCTGCGGTGAGCTCCCCGGGTGCTGGGGGAGCTGGGTCAGAGGCCCTGACCCCACGAGGGGTGCCGCCCATCCCGCTCGGCCGTCTCGGGGCCAAGGCCAGAGCCTGGGCTCCTGCCTCCTCTGCTGACACCCGCCAGGCTCTCCGTGTCACCCACTCGAGTGCTTTTTTAAAAAAATATTTTTTATTGATTTTTACAGAGAGGAAGGGAGAGGGATAGAGAGTTAGAAACATCCACGAGAGAGAAACATCGATCAGCTGCCTCCTGCACACGGCCCACTGGGGATGTGCCCGCAACCCAGGTACATGCCCTTGACCGGAATCGAACCCGGGACCCTTGAGTCCGCAGGCCGATGCTCTACCCACTGAGCCAAACCGGTCAGGGCCCACTCGAGCGCTTTCAGGGGAGGTGCCCAGTGTGCTGGGTAAACAGGCATCTCCGAGGCTGCTTCTCTTGAGTGGTTTCCTCCCAGCCGGGCACCCCCACTCTGTGAGCGCCCACTCCTCGGGCCGCACAGTCTACAAACTACAAGGCTCCGGGGAGGAAAGGGGGTTCGCAGAGCAGCTGCTTTGGGAGAAGCCAAGGCTGCTGGCCCAGCGGCAGGCCCTTCCCTGGTGCAGCTCCGGGAGAAGGTGCCGCCCTCACTGCAGCGCACCCCACGCCCACCACCTGCAGGGGTCCTGGGCCTCTTCCTCCCAAAGCCCTTGTTGGAAATCAGAAGGCGGTTCCAGACTCTCCCCCTCGGCCGACGTGCCTCAGCCACGCGGACCTGTGCCCGGGCTGCAGAGCCGCGGCCGTGACCTCTGGGCCTCTTACTGCTGAGAGGACCGCCCCCTCCTTCGAGGACAGGGCTTGGGAAATCCAAAATAGAACCCCAGGAAAGCCCTCTCAGTCTCACAGTGCTGGGGCCCTAGGCTGGGGGTGGGGGTGGGAGGGGGACTGGAGGTAGTTTTTAAAGTTCATTTTAGAAACATGGAGTGTTCAGTGCCTGGCCCTTTGCTGAAGTTTTTGTGTTTGTTTTGTGTGTGTGTGTATATGTGTGTGTGTGTGTTTTATTTAGAAAGCAGTATGAGATGAATGCATTAATTGAAATTTATTTTTTTATTTTTTTTAGAGTAAACTTTTTTTATAAATAGAAAGCATACAATCCAAAATAATGATAAATAGTATAATAGCATAAGCCAGTAACTTGAAATTTAAATGAACAGTTTTAGAGATCCCTTTAGGAAACTTTTCCCCTTGCTTTTCTCTGAGCAATGCTGAGAAATAACAGAGGCCAGCTACCACTTTATCGTGTCTATGAAAATAGTTTTTGATTCCAAATAAAAATTAGGTAATATTTTTGCATAATATTTGGAATCCGAATAATGGATGGACATCCCCCTATAGGTAAGTAAGGGACCCTGGAATTTATGTGAGTCCCAGCCCATGTGACAGTCGGACCCAGTAACTTATGCTCCTGGTCCCTGTCTCTCCGTGGACCCCTGGTTCGGGGGCTCGGGCCCCGAGGGAGCAAGATGCCGCATGGCGTGGACTGTATGGATTCAGTCTCGCAGCCCTGCACTTACAGAGCCCGTGTTAGCGCTTGAAGATGCAAATGGAAAGAAATGGTCACCCAGAGGTCAGACCCCAGTTTAGCCCAGCTCACGAGTTCCGGCTGAACACAGCGCTGTGCCCTGAGGCTCACCGCTCAGTGAGGAGCTAAATCGGGCCTCGTCCCCTCAGCTCCTGGAGAATATGCTTGTGGCGGGAATGGTCGTGACCACAGTCTTACACGCAGAGGCTACAAAGGAAGTGGACGTACTGAGTCATAGGCAGCCCTGGCCGGGTGGCTCTGTTGCCTGAAGCATCGTCCCATACACCTAAAGGTTGTGGGTTCGATTCCCAGTCAGGGCACATATTTTGGCTGCGGGTTCAATCCCAGGTTGGGGCACGTATAGAAGGCAATCGATAGATGTTTCTCTCTCAAAAAAAATCAATTAAAAAAGAAAATAATCATTGTTAGCCTCAAGGACAGTTTTATTGCTGAAAGGGACGACCGGAGCCCGATATCGGTCTACGATTTAGCAACCGATCAGGTGACCTGGCGGGAGCACCGTGGGGTCAGAGCTCAGGAGCCCACTTCCCAGTCCTGTCTCTGCTGCTTAATCTCGAGGGGTTGGGGGTGCTGACCTGGCCTTGGACTCCCCTCCCCGAGCAGCTCCGAACGCTGCCGCCGGGCGAGGAGACAGTGCAGCTCACCGACAGCCATGTCCTGGGTGACGCAGGCGGCTGGGGTCGCCAGCGGTGACAGCGCCAGGTGCTGACGCGGTTCGGGGGAGGGAACTGGCACCGGCTCCCTTGCTGGACGTGCCGGGAGCGTTTCCTCTGGAGATGGTACTGCCCGGCGTGTGATCGGGGACATGGCCCTGAGCCAGCCGGCCCCTCCCTGGACGCCGTGCGTGGGGTTAGAGAGCGTGGCTGGCCAGACCGTCCTCTTGTCGCTGCTCTGGTTGGGTCATTCCCTTGTCGTGTGTTCCCGTTGGCAGATTCCCATCACGGTCACGAAGCCCCACGAGAAGGCCGAAGTCCCCACCGGCGTGATCGTGGGGAGCGTCGTCGCCGGGATCCTCCTGCTCTTGGCGCTGGTGGCCGTTCTGTGGAAGGTAAGACACGGCCTCGTTCAGCACCGAGGCTCCCGGGGCCTCTGTCGTGAACGTCCTGGTCAGACAGCAGCCTTCCATCCCTTCGGCCCCTCCTCCATCACAAGAGAAAGGGCAGTGCAAGGCCATTGCAATCAGGTCCCGGAAAAGCACCGAAGGATTTTACCTCCTCGGCCTTGTCCCTGGCCTGCCCTTCCCCCCTCTCCCCTCGGCCGACCCTGCGTGTCCTATCCAACCGCAAATAAACGGAGCCCAGCTCCCTGGGCCCCAACGTCCTCCTGACGCCGATACCCGGTCAGTCCCAGTCCGCACCCCCCTCCCCGCGCCCATGGCTCCAGACGTGGTTCCCAGGGGCAGCCAGGGGGGTCCAAGGCCCCACGCAATAAGCCATCGACGTAACGTTTCACACCGTCACCCCACAGCTCGGCTTCTTCAAGAGGAAATACGAGAAAATGATGAAGAATGCAGACGAGGCTGACGAGACCGTGGAACTCAACAGCTGAGCGCCGGCCGGACCCGCGGGACAGGCCGCCTCCCGCCAGCGCCTGCTGCGGGCGCGGCTTTGTGTTTAAACCCAGGGTTTGGCGATGTCTCAGGGGCACTAGTCTAATATTTTATTTCAAGAAAACTGCAGGTCAGTTTGGAAAAAAGAACTGGGGGTGGGAGGGGTGGGAACTTAGAGGTTTATGTAAAAGACTTATTTGCTACGGACAGTGTCTACGCCGGCTGGTCCCCGGCGCACACGGTGGCGGTGCCCTGTCGGAAGGGGATGTGCTTGCAGACCCGGCGCGTCTTCAACAAAACACACCTTTCTCCGGTGTTTTATTGGCGGGGGATCCGGTTGTGTGAAACGATTGTTTTTAAAAGAAGTGACGCGTTTGGTGAAGACAGGACGAGCTTGGATGTTGACGCTGGGGAAGGACAGCGTATCATCCCCTCCCGGCAGAAGTTGCCAGTTTTCTGAGAACTGAGTTTACAGTGAGGGCCCTGGCTGCTGGCCCGGTGGCCCCCTCGCCCTCTCCTGCAATGAACTGACGGAGACGGAGACCCGCCGAGTGGCTGGGGCGCCTCCTGCCAGCAGGTCTCCATCCCGGGGGTGAGGGAGGTTAGAGGCCGAAGCACAAGACACTGTGGCCATGCTGCTGGTACGACCCGCCTGCCGGGGCCACCGTGTTGGGGGGACAGGGGAGTTCCCCCTCCCCGAGGGCCACAGCTGGCCGCCTGGCTGCTGGCAGGGACCTGGTGACTTTTTAAAGATGATCCACGTCCTGGGCACCTTCCTGCCTCCACACGGAGCCCTGTCCCGCCCTGGGAGCCCTGCTCTGGAGCCCCGGAGCCTCGTCCCTGCATGGCTGCGGTCACCCCCCGTGTGCACACACCGTCTCCCCCAGCCCCTGCCCCCCCACGGGGAGGAGGCAGGAACCCCGCGCCGAGTGGATTTCTAATCCTTGGAGCTCCAGGGCGTGTGGAAGGCAAAGCAGGACGTCGTCTCAGGAGCCTGGGAGCAGGTACGGGGTACTGGGCGTCACCGGTAGCAGGCGTCCTCGGGGCTGGTCCGTCTCGTCTCCTGGACCGACCCCCGAATGACTCTCACCTGGAGGCTGCCTCCCAGCTGGAGTCCCCAGTCCCAGCTCCCGAGACCGCTACTTGGTCGGTGGGCTGAGGCCCCGAACCCCTGTTTTCACGAGCGCCCGGTCGCTGTGCTGGAACAGACGGCCCCCCTTTTCCTTCTGCACCCTCTGCTCTCTGAGCCCACAGGACCTCGAAGGGTGGGGCTGGGCAGAAGGCGAGGGCCGGGCGCAGCGTGGGCGATGCCATGTGGAGCTGCAGCCTGGAGCTGCCAATCAGCCGCTCGGCCCGGCGACGGCAGGGGCTGGAGCTCAGCAGCGATGCTCTTGGCTCGGCTGATGGCTCAGTGGGTGAGCAGTGACCTGTGAACCAGGAGGTCACTGTTCGATACCCGGTCAGGACGCAGGCCCGGGTTGCGGGCTCGATCCCCTGTAGGGGAGCATGCAGGAGGAAGCCAATCAATGATTCTCATCATTGACGGTTATCTCTCTCCCTCTCCCTTCCTCTCTGAAATCAATAATATATATATATAAAATAAAAGTCTGGGGCCTGGGTTTTTATAATACAAATAGTCCTTCAAGGCTCTGACTTTGAGAAGAAGTCAGGGAGGACAGGGATTCGTCCATGTGATCTGGCCTGGCCCCGGCCGTGGCAGCCAGGCCCGGGCACGCAGGTCAGTGGTTTACTTTGTATTTCACCAAACGAAGAAGAAAAAACAACCGTGAAGTGTTGGGTTTACAGCAAAAATGGCTGGTGTTCTCCAGTGAGACGTGCCGGAGCCCCATTCCTGGAACAGCCGTTTGGACGAAACCTGTTTCATCCCAATAAAGTTTTATTGAGAAACAGCGTGGAGGAGACGGCCACGAGGTGACAGAGGATTTTGATGGACCACGTGACTCTGTACAGACGCACTAGTTCCTCGCGGTGCTGTGTAAGGATGTTTCCTCGGCCTCGCCGCCTCCTTACCGGGCACTCAGCTGCCGTCACACACGCAGGGCGGGAGCTCAGGCAAGACCAGGGAAAGGCCTTTCCGCGTTCTTCCCGCGAAGGGGCTGGGCTCCCGGAGACTGACCAACGTACTGCCTGGCTCCGCACCGTGTAGCAGTCAGGTGTGGCCTGGGTGCTGCTGATGCCTGGGGCCAGGTGATCTCAGGGTGTCCTGTGCCCTGTGGTATGGTCTGCAGCTTCCCGGGCCTCTCGCTGCCCAGGCTGGGAGCAGGCTGCCCCTAGTGGTGATACCAGACTGTCTCCAGCCCTCATGAGGCCGCGGGGGACCAAGGCACCCAGATTGGGAACCGCTGTGCTAACCACACCTGCCTGAACACGGCTTCTGCGATCAGATTGGTGGTCAGAGGCAGAGGCTGCATTTACCGATGGACGAGCACTTCTCCAGCACTTTGAAGCAAAGGTGAATATTCATCAAAGAAATGAAAGAACCGGCCGGTGTGAGCGTCCACCTATGGACCCAGAGGTCCCAGTTCCATTCCTAGTTGGGGCACAAGCCCGGGTTGTGGGCTGGATCCCCAGTGTGGGGCGTGCAGGAGGCAGCTGATCCAAGATCCTCTCTCATCACTGATGTTTCCATCTCTCTCTCCCTTCCTCTCTGAAATCAATAAAATATATTTTTTTTAAAAAAAGGAAAAAAAACTTTGTTTAAGAAGAAGTTTTGTATTCCTATTCAGCCACACTTTTGTTTGGAGACGAAATATGGTGTAGGGCTTAGAAGATGCCACGTGCCCTGACCGGTTTGGCTCAGTGGATAGAGCATCGGCCTGCGGACTGAAAGGTCCCAGGTTCGATTCTGGTCAAGGGCGTGTACATTGGTTGCGGGCAACATCCACAGTAGGGGGCGTGCAGGAGGCAGCTGATCGATGTTTCTCTCTCGTGGATGTTTCTAACTCTCTATCCCTCTCCCTTCCTCTCTGTAAAAAATCAATAAAATATTTAAAAAAAGAAGATGCCACGTTAGAGTGTCCATTTCATAAACGGTGCCCAGACAAGGCCTGCCGAGTGCAACCGAGACACGGTGCTGTAGGCAGGGCCGCTGTAGGCAGGGCCGCTGTAGGCAGGACCCCTGTAGGCAGGACCGCTATAGGCAGGGCCGCTGTAGGCAGGGCCCCTGTAGGCAGGACCGCTGTAGGCAGGGCCGCTGTAGGCAGGACCCCTGTAGGCAGGGCCCCTGTAGGCAGGGCCCCTGTAGGCAGGGCCGCTGTAGGCAGGGCCCCTGTAGGCAGGGCCGCTGTAGGCAGGGCCCCTGTAGGCAGGACCGCTGTAGGCAGGGTCGCTGTAGGCAGGACCCCTGTAGGCAGGACCCCTGTAGGCAGGACCCCTGTAGGCAGGCCCCCTGTAGGCAGGGCCCCTGTAGGCAGGGGCCGCTGTAGGCAGGACCCCTGTAGGCAGGGCCGCTGTAGGCAGGACCCCTGTAGGCAGGACCGCTGTAGGCAGGGCCCTCTGTAGGCAGGGACCCCCTGTAGGCAGGGCCCGCTTGTAGGCAGGGCCCCCTGTAGGCAGGCCCCTTGTAGGCAGGGCCGCTGTAGGCAGGGCCCCTGTAGGCAGGGCCCGCTTTAGGCAGGACCCCCTGTAGGCAGGGCCCCTGTAGGCAGGGCGCCTGTAGGCAGGACCCCTGGTAGGCAGGGCTGCAAATAGGGAACCGAGTGGAACAGTTTGTAAGGAAACCGCAGACTCGAACTTGGGCCTTGAGCTGTTAGCAGAAAGCGAGGACGTGGAGCTGCAGAGAGGGCCTCTCGCTGGCGGAGTCCTTTTCATAAAACAGCAACCGTCTCCCTTAGCGGGAAGAGCAAAGAAAAGGTGAACCAACTTAGCGTGTCACACAGGTGATTGTACTAAAAGTTACCACAGAAGTTCTTTATAGTGTAATTGTCCTAACATACAGCTTTACCTCATGTAGGGAACTCTCATATCCAACAGAAAGCGGAACTCCTCAGACAGAACTCCTGTCCGTCTCGATCCAGTTTGCACAGGGAAGTAACCGCGTGCACAGGGGTAGGGCACGCCCTCCTGTAGAGAAACACCCATTTGTATCAACGCCAGACTGACCCCTAGAGGCCACGGTCACAAACACGGGGTAAATTTTGAAATAAAAATGTAATTACTTTGAACCTTCGAGGACAAAAAGGTAGCCGTTGTGTAAATATAGAGAGATGGTTTCATCTGTACCAGATGTATTTTGGCAGATAAACTCAAAATATAAATGTATATGTTGCACAATTATATGAGAATTGTATATTTTTTAAAGGCAAATTGTCTTGGATACTTTCATATATTAATGTATAAATCTATACTAAGATGTAACATGGTTATTGGTTTTGATTAACTAGTTTTTGTCTTTCCTCTCGACCAAAACTATGAAAACGCATGTACGTGTGTGTGTGTGTGTGTGTGTGTGTGTGTACATCAAGCTGTAGAGTTCACCTGGTTTCAAGAAACATCCACTGGAGGAGCGAGTGATCCTCAGTATCGACTCAGGGCCGTGCTCCTGCGAAAGTGTGCGAAGCAGCAAGTGTCCTGTGACTGTAACCCCTCTGTCCACACCGCATGACCGAGTAAACGGAATCCTTTAGAAAACAGTGCTCTCTCCTGGGGATTCTGGGTTTCACGCTCCTGTGTTTCACTGTCTTACGCACTCACTCCAGACTCAGCAGGAGGGCTGTCCCTCCTCTCCCGCCACTGGCTGTGAGCAGCGTCCGGGACCTTAAAATCCTGCCCAGCAGGGACTGGCCGCTCTGCTCCTAGGCCACAGGCCCTGAGCCTGCTCCACAGTCAGAGCTCAGACCCGCAGGCCCTGAGCTGTTGGGCCCAGGGCGGCAGCTTAGCGGGTCCCGCTCACTCCCTCCGCGGCGCTGGCCGCACAGCTGAGCTGAAGCCGAGCCTGTGCCAGAGTGAAGCAGGAGAGCCAGCAGCTGCTGCACCTGCACGTCTGTGTGGCTGTGTTTTCTAATCCCGGGAGCGAGCAGGAGGGTTTGAGTATTTTCATTTTTAAGGATTAAACAAGCTGACATGAATGTGCTGAAATCATAAGCCAAGATGCGCCTCAGGCTCACAGACGGGCCGGTCGGACACACGGACGGCACGTTCACGCCCAGGTGCTGCCATTCACAGCGACGCCCGTGCTCCGCGTCAGGTGTCTCTCACGTCTTCCCGTCCCCACCGGTTCTGGGAAACCGAGTCAGGGGGCAGCTTCCTGCGCTCTCTCTCTCTCTCTCCTCTCTCTCTCTCTCACACACACACACACACACACACACAAGTGTGTCTGGTGAGCACCGGGCATTAACACGACTCCGGGGAGAGAACATTCGTTTCTTTTTTTCTTCTTTTCAAAGCTGCTGCGCCGGTTTCCCTCCCACCCGCAGTGTGCGGGTCGCCTGACCTCCTCTGCACTGTGATGTCAGGTTCGTTATTTCTGCCCGTCTGGTGGGTGTGTGATGACACCTTGTGTTTTAACTAATGTCTCCCTGGTCCCTGGTTCCTGGTGGGATTGAGCATTTTTTTCAGATGTTCACTGGCCATTCAGGCTCTATGGGTTTTGTTTGTTTTTATTATTTCTGACCCTCTCCTGAGGATATGTTTTTATTCAATTTTTAAAATGTATTGTTAGTTAATCCTCACCTGAGCATGTTACTACAAACAGCATTTTTAAAAACCCCCTCATTCTACCATAACCCTTTAATATTCTAAACTAAGATTCCAATTAAAGATTGAAATTCATCTAATTCAAAACCAGGGACTAATTTTCACCGAAGGCCCACTCCAACCTAACTTACTTTAAAAAAAGAAAAAGGTTACTAACCAAATAGCACTTTTGGGTTCTGTGCAAAATAAAGGTAATCAAATAAAATCTCACACAAGTTGCTTTGCCTATAGCCCAGGATCTACTGCCCCCTGCTGGGGAAACTACCTAACGACAGCACACAAACCAATCCTGCCCAAATCGTGCACCAGCTGTGGCCGTAGCCATACACAGGCATTACAATATCATCGACCACATTCCCTCTGCGGTACTTTACATCCCCATAACGTTTATAACTGGAAATCTGCACATCTTAATCCCTTCACTTATTTCATCCACCCCCGACCCCTTCTCCCCGCTGGTAAACACTAGTTTGTTTTCTTATCTATGAGTGTATTTTAGATTCCACATATAAGTGAAATCGTCTGTAATAATAAAAGTGTAATATGCTAATTAGACCGGACATCCTTCCGGACGAAGTAGACTGAGAGGGAAGCCGGGTCCCCAGTGCCTGCCCTGCTGGTGTCCAGAGGGAAGCCGGTGCCGGCAGCAGGGGAAGGAAGGCCTACTCTTGCACGAATTTCGTGCATCAGGGCTTTAGTGCATAAACCTATTAACAATTGGGGTACGAAGCCCAAGGAATATCTACAGGGGCCTGTACCTCCACGCTAATGTGCTTTCAGAATGAATGACACTGTCTTGTTCTCCTAAGGGGCTAAAATGTAGTGGACGGAAGAAGGAAGCATGAATCCAGAGAGGGCCAGGCCGAGGCCAGGCGATCAGGGAGAGTAGGGGAGGGTGTGTCTGCCTTCCGGGTCCGTCAGCCCAGTTTCTCTGGATCGACAGGCGGGGAAAAGCCTGGCTTACCGGGGATTCCCGGCGCCAGCGTGGCTCCTGCAGCCCAGGAAGGGGCAGCATGCAGACCCTTCCCCTGGATGTGAGGGTCAGGGGCAGGGACCACCAGCTGGGTGCCTGGCACCAAGCAGGCAGGCAAGGATGGTTGGAAAAGTGAATTCCTATGTTAACAATGTCTCACTAGATGTAACAATATCACCCCAAATGCAGTCAACCTGTGTCTGCAAGTCTAGTCTTTGTTCCCAACATGCATAATGCGAATTCTGTGGTGTCAGTCGCCTGAAATTATGTCCATGTTTTATTGCTTTAAGGCCGATAAGGAGGTCATACACTCCTGTCCATGAAGATAGTATGCAGGTGACCACGAGGAGGCTGGGCCTTTGTTTAGGACAAAGACCTTGCAGAGAAGTTGCTCATTATGGACCTCACTAATGGCGATGCTGCATAAGCAGCTAAAGGGATACTATCTGCAAGTGCTTTAATGAACAACCACATCATTCTCCTTTTTCAGTGGCTGTGGATCAAATTTTATTTTTATTTTATTGATGTCAGAGAGGAAGGGAGAGGGAGGGAGGGAGAGAAACATCAACAACGAGAGAGAATCATTGACTGGCTGCCTCCCACGCGCCCCCTACTGGGGATCGAGCCCGCAACCCAGGCATGTGCCCTGACTGGGAATCGAACCGGGACCTCCTGGTTGATGCTCAACCGTGGAGCCATGCCGGCCGGCTGTGGGTCAAATTTTATTTTATTTTTTTATTTTTTTTAAATATATTTTATTGATTTTTTACAGAGAGGAAGGGAGAGGGATAGAGAGTTAGAAACATCGATGAGAAACATCGATCAGCTGCCTCCTGCACACTCCCCACTGGGGATGTGCCCGCAACCAAGGTACATGCCCTTGACTGGAATCGAACCCGGGACCCTTGAGTCCGCAGGCCGACGCTCTATCCACTGAGCCAAACCGGTCAGGGCTATGGGTCAAATTTTAAATATCAACTAACGGTATAACCCAAAGGAACCTTGTTGCTAGTCAATTACCCTGGTTTTACAGTGACTTCATGCTGATTTGTATATAGATTCAACACTAAGAACTTATAAAATCTAATAAGTAATGGTGAGATGATAGATTCTGAAATCCTAGACATCGCCATAGTATGAAATACATGTTTGATGTCTTAGTACTGAATTTTAAAACACAGAAAAATGCTGCTCATAAACGATTTTAATGTTTATTTGGTTTACTTTTTAAATATATAAATTCTTAAAATATATCATGACTTTCCAGTAATGACTTTGTGCGCCCTCCAGCCAGCACCATAGTGGCACCCTGGCTGTGGGGAGGGGGGGTGGGGAGGTGGGTTCTGAGACAGACTCTGAGTCCAGTTACAATCATTCGTCATGAGTTCATTTGTCTACCGCTGACATCTTTCCTCGTGTTTAAATTGTTCTTCCGTTTCCCCCTAGAGGCGGTCCCTCTCTCTAGCTCCAGTGTAAGACCTCACCCTAAACTCTCCTGAGTTCTGGAGAAGGAAAATCAGATTGTGGTCCAAGGTCAGGCGGCCACTTCACCAACGTGAGTGATTTAGTCGCTGGTTGCCCAAAAGCATTCTTTGTTTCTCTTCCAAGATGATGACGATTCTTCGTATATTTCCTAAGAGACAGAAGCATGACAGGCATTCAACACAAAGCATCTGAATACACGCAGACAGATTTGAGCAGCGAGGGCAGATGGACATCACACCTACTGAAATCTGCTCCTCTCTCCACATCCCGGGACGTTTATATCGGCCCCGCGAGCAGAGAAAGGAACGAACACGTCCCCTCCACGTAAGGACGCCAACCCAGAGGGGAGCAGCGGACAGAAGCCTTACCAGGGGGGACGACGGGGCAGAATAAGGGATGAACTCCCTGGGGCCCAGCACAGGGACAGCTGGGCAGGCAGAGAAGGGCGGGTCTTCTGTTCTAAGCATTTTCCTTTCCAAACACACTGGCTGGTCCCACAGCTCTAACTGCGCTGGTCCCCAGGCAACGGGGCTCAGCCTGTGACGTGGTCACACCTGCAGAAGCTCTGCACAGGTGACAGCTGCTCTGGACGCAGGTGGCGCCTGCCTGCCCACCTGTGCCTGCGCCACAGACGACCTCGAAGCACAGGCCACCTTCCCTTCTCACTCTCTAGCCAGCTCTTCTGCCGTTGGAACAGAAACCCACACTCACTTGTCCTCTGGACACCTGGACCCTTCCCCACCGCCCAGGGCCTTCTTTGGAGGCCACCCGCTCACCTGCAGTGGTGAGCTGTCCCCTCCCCCTGCCCCAG